ATGTGTCCCAGTCCACCCAGCTGTGAATGGGTACCTTGTTAGGATGAGAAAGCCACAATAACTCGGTGCGTCTAGTGGCTGAAAAGAGTTGTATACTCCCCAGGGGAGTTGGGATTGATAATGCGATTTGCCGTTGAGATTGACATCCAATGATCGAGGGAAAAGAATATACCAGCGCCTTGAGCATGCACTATTGCGTGGATATGTGCGCTATAGAAATATTCTATAATAATAAAAATAACTTTGAAAATATTTTTGTCATGAGTTCAATAAACGATGAAACTCGGTGAAAATTTGCGAATTCTTAACAAAACTTTACACCAAAACGCAGCTGTTTACATGCACGATATTTGCACATGCTTTTCAGCATTTTAATGCATGATCCTCGTGCAATTCATCAGCATAAGGTTTGCAGTTGGTTGCCCCAAGTTAGTGGAAAAAAATCATCTTCGATTTAACCATATTATATGCATAACATATAGTGAGTGCTTTAAGCGAGTCTAAACTTTTGATAGGTAGTATATATGTGATACTCTAGTATTTTTACTGTCCATCGCCGACAGGTTTCACTCTCCAAAATTTTCATTTCTTGTATAAATTGTTACCTTCACGATATGGCTGAGATATTGCCGATGTGCCGATTAAATATTAACTCACTCACTCACTCACTTTTACGTTACCAAAATCGTAATGTACACCACTTAGTCTCTGAATGACTGACTGTCTGTATGAGGGTGAATCTCCAATCAAATAAGCTACAATTTCAAGCGAATATGGTCAACAAATAGTAGCATACATTTTGAGCGACCTGAAAGATGTTGATCTACTGTTGGGAAGGACAGGCAGAAAGCATACGTTAAATTACGAAGAATACATACATATTTTACCATCCCGTACATGCCATTCTACAAACCAGTAATACCGTTCTTGGTGGGTAGAAACACATATGTCTGATATGTTTGGGAAGTTCTGATAGACAGTAATTTATTCGTGCTGTCATCATATAGATGAAACTGTCAATTACCCTTACTACGTAAATACTTTACTATTACACTATAATGAACAGATCATAAAATATATACATACAGTAGTTAAAGTAGTTAAAATCGAGTCAACGGATGCACTTTTGAAGAGTTTCTGTTTTGTGCACTGTAAAAAGAAAATATACCTGGTAGTCGTGGTACAAAACAACCATCGGCCACGATTGTCGCGTACGTCTGTGTTAAGGCAGGAGAGTTACCATCAACTTATGCTTAAGATTGATTTGTATTACTCCACTAGGACACTTAAAAACGGTCTTATCATATGACAATAATTGGTTTGGTTTGGTTTTTCGCTAAAAAAGACTAAACACGAAGAGTAAATCCAAATTTTTATGTGTTATTCAGTTTTTAGCTCTTTATGCGACAATACTTATAATATATTATCTATTTCAATCCATTAATTCAGTATGTATGGAAAATAAGTAAGTATATTCACCATCGATTATATACAATGTAGGTTCTTGAAGTTGTTTATCTATTTGTGAAAATCTTTGTCAGGTATATAGAAATGGTATACACATATTTAATTAAGGATGCTAATTAATTTTCAATGGGCTAACATCGTTTCCGTGTGTATTTTCACTGCTTCATCCAGTGCATGAGTCAGCTGATGATGAAGCCAGACTGAAGCAGCGTGTGCTCATCAACAGTGCAACCATGATGATATCCACAACACGGCTTCTCATCAACAGTGCAACCATGATGATATCCACAACACGGCTTCTCATCAACAGTGCAACCATGATGATATCCACAACACGGCTTCTCATCAACAGTGCAACCATGATGATATCCACAACACGGCTTCTCAAAATGCTCACTTGTGTAGTTTGCCCAATGGCAAACTCTCTAAGTTATACGTTCATTCATACAATAATCCGTACATATTTCTGATGCAAATGTAAACATCTTTTATTCCAATCTATGAAAGTAAGTGAAACCAAACCTGTCACGTCAACTGTACAATTACAGAACAAAACATGTTATTATGTGTTTGTATAAACAAAAAACATTTGTAGTAGATTGAAGTAGATTGGTGACACCTTCGTCTTTGAGGGTAACTCTTACTCACATCCTACCTAGATACACATATACTTAAAATCGCGTTAATATATCGTAGCGAAATATTTACAGCTTCGTGATATTTACACACCATTCACAAACTGTTGCAATAGTTAATAAATACCACGAATACGCTGGCTTCAGTATTATAGAGTGCGTCTGTTAGCTTAAGTGTCATTTAAATCTTGTAATGTTTCGTCATCTTAAACACATAACACAGTGTACCCCACTGAATACGGACCAAATTCAGCGTAATGAAACTTGATGACAAGCATAACGTATATTCAGTGTCAATGTGTGGTGTGAAGTAAAGGACCAACATCATTTGTGAAAATATTCAATCGGTATGAAAGGTCCTAGTCACCATTTATACGACGCGTTTGATGAATGTAACCTCTGAATATTATACCTATAACCTGTCAGTTTGTTTTAAATTTCCTGTTTTTTTCTTTTGAATATACGAATGATATGTGTACGATTCATGCTAGAATGAAAAGAAGTCTGACACCAGTTCTTCGCACCTGAAATATAGCCTCTTTCTCGTTTGTTTTTTACATGTCACCTCTACTCTCAACTCTGAAGAGATTTATGAACGAGAAGTTTACTAACCTAGAAATATATAATACCCACGTCCTTCAGTGGTCCCTGTGTTGGTGTAATATAGAATATGTACGTGCTTAGTTATAATCATATCTCACAGAACGCAGTGTTAACAGTGAGAGGAAGCTGTCTTTCATTGATGAATTCTCAACCCCCTGTGATGAAACTGATGAAAAGTGCAGTTTCGACATCCATGTACAAGGAAGGTATAAACAACTGTAGGTTTCTGTTATGTGTGTGAAGGCAACTGGCGATATTGTCTGTGTCATAAGCGTGAATAATATATATCTCAATATACACGAAAAGTCTTTTCAGTGTCTATATCCACAAGTAAATAAAAGAACTCATCAATTGCGGTGTGGGTATAAGAGCCGTGAACGCTGGACTAGTGACTGGCACAGAGTGGCTCAGGCGGAGTTAGGTTGTGGTACACACTGCCCCGATCCTTGTCAGAATAAACGGATAAATTAGACGCTAATAAGAGGCATGTTGATCATGCTTGTTAGGATTTGGGGAGTGGGTAGGATTCACCCCAAGGGAATGAGAGAATGTTGATCCATGCAGTGCAGGTGAGCTACGCAATCATGTGAAGAAAATGAGAGCGTGGAACAGTGACATGCGCTCCGCGCGTTTAAGATCCCGTCTTTTCATAATCACTAACCGTCGCAAGGGAAAACTAACAGTACCCGGTACATGGCATTACCTGGCTTGCAAAGCCCGAAAAACGAGAACACGAAAAAATGTGTCGGGGGACACCTGTGGATAAAGTTTTAAACGTGGGAAATAAACTTAAGAGAGGCGGTCATCATACTGCAAATGTATTATAATGAAGTATCCAACGGCCAGTTATTTCAGTTTTTGCATCAGTAAATATATTCATTGCCTATTATGCATAATGTGGAAAATACAAGATCTAATAAGACATCGCGAATTTTCAGAACCTGTGGACCAGATCTGACATATGTCATAAGCAATCGTATGATGCTATGAAAATGCCTGTATTATTCAATTACCCAAACCTCCTACAGACATTTCAGAAAACTATTACAAATAGACCACTGCGGAATAATGGGTATAACACATGTGTGGTAATAATTAGTTTTATGCAAGCATGTGTTTCACCAATATGTCTAAAAGCGAGAAGCATGACAGAAACAATAGAAAGGGGACGCTTTCTAGAACTATATCTCCCTGTGAAAGAGGTTTGTGATATAGCATTGGTTTACACCTGATGGGATAAAACCAAATATTTACAATCGGCATGAGCGGGTTAGGCGGGACTAAGCGCGAGACGAGGATGTGAGAGATTTGTGCCCATTGAACACCGTTCGTCTCTCGCGGGCTGTCACCACCAATTCGACCCTGGCGCTCCGAGTACCTCTACCCAAGCCATTTATCAGAGCTTCTCAGATAGTACCTGCGGGTGTCATGCACAGGCGGTCAGTCCGTTGATAACAATCGAGAGAATCCTCTACGTGCATGACCCGAGACTTCTCGCGAGCGTGTGCCCGCAAACAAACTTTCGCGAATTGTCACTTACCGATATCGCAACTTCAACGCGCACCTGTCGATTACATTCAGCAAATATTTATCGACATAATGACAAGAAAATCGAACTTGGGACAGGGTTATACCGGATCTTAACTCAAGTATAACCTATGATCACATTTCTTATCTGTATTTGTAAACTTCAAAGGGATTGATAAGAAACGCCTCGTATTCGTAACTGCTTAGAATTGAGACAAAGTCGATGAAATTATTCATGTCACTGTCGATAGTTGTAAAGGAATGGACGAAAGATGAAAAATAAATAAATAAAACTACGACTGTCAATTGTGACTTATTGCAACATTAAAACACTCATACACACAAAATGACACATGTTGCATGCAGACGACGTGGATTTACTCACCTGTTAATTTTGAAATATCCTTTTTGTAAAGTGGTTCTTCTGCATCTTGGGCTTTTATAATCTCCTCGCTTCGTTCTAATATATTCTGGTGATATTTTTCCTCCACTAATTGTGCAAAGGGAAGTAAACAAACGAGAAGAACTAAGACGGTGGGTACATCCCTTCTCGCCATTTTGAGATAGCAGACGGCTAGTGTGGTCACATGATCAATTTGACAGGTGTTTGTGTAAACTATCGTCGCCAGGTGGCGCTGTCACGTGACCTTTGATCTTCGGTCGAATGTTTCATTCTAAGTTTGTTTTTTGAAAGTCTGTTTTACTATGTTGATTTTACTAAGCAATGTTTTGATAGATAGTACAAAATACGATTTTTCTCAGTCTTTGTATTCCACAAAATGTAGCCCCGGGCTTCTTCCGGGTTAGACGACTACTTCCGGTATTGCATGGTGTCGTGTCCAGTCGGCTGCTGTCAAGATGTGAGTATGTTTGCTGTTTGTTTTTCCCCGTCAAGTTATGTAAACTTGATATCTTTTCTACATTCTATCTTGTGTCGTTCCAGGTCGAAAGTTACGTTCAAGATCACTCTAACATCGGACCCAAAATTGCCATACAAAGTGTGAGTATGTCACCGCATGTGAAACGATGTTCATATCTGTCCAGTTTTCGATCACATAAAATTGGGTTTGTCACTTTGTGTGAGGATCATAAGTATATTACGCCGATATATTCATTCCGTATTATTGTTCTAATGCATATCATTCATTGATACACAAGAAACAGTTGTATTATATATTATTTTGATTTAATGAGCCAAATTCTGTTACAACATATGGCAACACGATCAATATTTTGTGTATATGAAATTTTCATTTATTAACACGATGGCAAAATCTGCTACAGTCAAGACCACACATTTGTCCTCATAGTCAATTTTAGGATTATGATACTGAAATTGTCATAATGGTACTCACTGTACACATTATGGCAGAAAATTAGAGTGTTAATCATACAAAGGGCAAATAAATAATATGTTGTGGTTCCGATTACACCTCTTTAAAATTTAGGGTAGGCAGGTAGGAAGGAAATTTTAGTAATGTAAAGTACAAACTAATAGCACATTTATCAATGTGTAATTGTTTATTCAGTCAAGCTTGCTGCCATCATGTTGACTTTCTCTATCAGAATGACTGATGTCCATTGGTGCCGGGGAAAAACAATGGTATCTGAAAGCTTATTTTAATCATATCTCGTAATAAAAAACAAGGGTCGGAACCAAAATTGAAGGGTCAGTCGGGTAATCGGAGCCACAACATTTTTTTTTTTGCCAAATGTAGATTGTATGCTGATGTTACAGGATAAACCTCATCCTCATCATGCTTATTGCAAAAATCTGTTTGTACATACATGGCCTTGGTGGTCTAATGTAATATTACATTATATTATTATCAACTCAGTAATGTAGGAAATTGTAGTCCACTAGTCCACAGTAGTCCAGTCTTCCAGCCAGCTTTGCATGTGGTAGCATGGTGATTTTTAAAAAGATTTTCTGAAAAGTTACCTCACAGTGATATAAGGCGATGTTCATATCATTGTGTATATCGCTGTCAGGATCAGTCAGTGTTTCTGCTGAATGAAGGTTTCATTTGCAATTTTAAAGCTGCAACTGACTGCTCAATTCGAAGTATTTGGAAACGTTTGAGTTTGTAAACAGCACATACAACAGGAACATTTTTAGCTCAACTTCTCGAAAATTCTGATGACTGTGGACAAGTATGATGAGTCTTTGACTGGTAAACTGCAGTATTAGTTTAGCAAGGATTAAGGATATTGTTCAGACCAATTTCCCCCAGCAGCGCCAGTCTCCTTGGTTCATTCGTTAAATTACCCAATTCACGCTTATTTCATATTTTGGCCTCCATGGACTGTCATTATAGCTTTCATTGGAACAAAATGGCTTTCAGTAAAACCTTTTTCCTTAAAACTAGTGGGGACCTGGGTAAAAGTTCAAGTTATCTATATTCAAGACAACCACATGTTTTAATTTTCAAAGACAATGTAACAATATATTACTGCATGTAATCTACTCATCTTTGGATCTTGACTACAGTTAAGCATTGATGACCATATTATTGCAAGTGAGCATTATTGTTATCTGCCAGTAAAACTTGGTCCTTTTCAATATTTTCTTCAACTTTTGACAATATTGTAGGTTATTTCCGGGGCGGTGGGGTAGCCTAATGGTTAAAGCGTTGGCTCGTCACGCCGAAGACCAGGGTTCGAATCCCCACATGGGTACAATGTGTGAAGACCATTTCTGGTGTCCCCCGCCGTGATGTTGCTGGAATATTGCTAAAAGCGGCGTAAAACCAAACTCAGTCAGTCAGTAGGTTATTGCCCCAATAATGTATTCACTATCACCATGATCACTATCATAATCCATTTTCACTCTTTTCAAAATTTACATGACTACGGTAAAAAGAAAGAATGGTTTAGTTGTGTGTATGGTGAGTTCAGAGCTGAAAGTTTGGGGACTGTTGGTCTCTGAAGGCTATTTTTGTTTTTAAACTTTATATTGTCAGTGAAGATTTTCGGCTAAATTAGGACACTTGGGACTACAAAATGAGAGCGAGATAGCATGAGGTTTTAAATTAAACATTTAGTGGTCTTAAATCAACGATAAAGGACCGCAAAATTGAAAACAGAGTAGCTTTATCTTCATTCTAGCACGACTGATAAACGTTTTAAAACCCGAACTGTTTGGCACACCTGGCGAACACAAGGCTTGCTTGGAATTGGGGCCATTTTCCTGGAAATAAGCTTTTAATCGTCCCATTGAGGGACAGGTTGTGTAATGAACAAAATAAGACATTTTCAACAACATAAATGCTTTATTTCAGGAACCAGTATGCTTGTATTTGTAACAAGTAGCATATATAAATAAAAAAAATACAGTTTATACTGTGAGCAAGTACAATTCTTTGATTTTTCTCAAGCGAATTATTGATCTCCCCTACTGTATGACAATCACTTTAATTAGCGGTCTTAAACTGCCATTTAAGTACGGTTTTGATGAGCTCTCAGCCAATCGAGTATCACACAATGTCCACAAACAGTCGTGCTAGAATATAGAAGGAAATAGCAAGGACTAGATGGTGAATTCAATAGAACTGGGAATTCAACACAACATGGTTTGACTGTATATGGTAGTATATTGGTACATTGCTTTCTTTCTTGATCTGTAAACACTGTCAGTTACTGATTACTAGTGGCTTTTTTGAGCTTTGTAATATGGACATGATGAAATCAATCTTTCATATATTTCTAATATATTTTTTTGCAGTTTAAGTGTACCAGAAGTAACACCGTTTACGGCAGTGTTGAAGTTTGCTGCAGAAGAGGTGAGGTGGTCATATATCTGTAATTCTCAACCACAGGAGCATGCCATTATTGCAGGGTTTTATCACTAATATCAGAAATACTGCTTTCCATACACATGAAAAGAATATGTACACAGTAATGGAAACAGTTCCACTGACAAGCCTGAAGCATGTTAATAAGTCTGGACGGAACACAAGATAACATTTATTAGTTTATATCCGACTAGTATTTTTACCTATAACCATGATTTTGCTGGTAACATGATCTATGTCAATGAGCCTGTGAGTGGGGTTGCATGCAAGATGTGGTATGTATAGGAATGATTTAGCTGTTTTTTATTACATTTATATTAGTGAATCCTATAGACTCTCAACTGTGATGTTGAGGGCTACCAGGTATGAAGATAGGCTCCAATGATATCAGGGTACCAACAACAGATGAGCTGTCAGGTATCTGCTAAGTCTTTTGAAAACTGTAGATCAAATTTGTTATTGTCTGGCAGAAAACGTTTCATGACAATGTTTGGTCACTTTTCTCAAAAACTACAAGTACAATCTTTTTCTAATTTGGCATGATGCATTATAATTGTTTTACAATTTAGAATTTTTCAAATTTTCATGAATTATGATTTAATAATAAAACAGTTGTCTATGTAAGCTATCATTATGTCAAGACACAATAACATCTGAATTGTCAATGATCAATGAGTGGAGAAATTCTGACCACAACAGGACACATTTCTATGAATGCAGGATGCTGGTACTATAGCGTTTTATCAGTGTATGAAATAAGGCCCGTCCGACCGCCCCAGACGGGTTAAGATTTCAGACGGACGGTCTAGATTTACAGCTAGCCAGCCCGATGGTCTGGTAAAATATTTAGATGTTATATACCTCTGAGTCCTTTCTTGATGTCTGGTCTGGTTAAATCCATTTTGGACTGGTAACATTTTGAAGTTACCAGCCCAGATGTCTGGCTGGTGTTTGGGCTTATTTCATACACTGGTTTTATTTATCTATTTATTTATTTATTAAAGTCTTAAAGTGGGCCCGTTGAATCGATATGACATATTCGACTGAGACATATCGTCTAAGCGATTAATCAGATTCAACAAACAGTGCAAATTGTCCCCTCGAACATGCATTGATTGTGCCACGAGTGTGCAGAGCATGTTCTAGTTATTTAATAAGTTGGATGTCGCGACCAATCAAATTGTGTTTTGTTGTCCCATGGTAAATGTTTACTTACAAGCATGGCTTTGTCTGCTTCAAAGAAATCGCACCTCGATTTTTCACGGTGCATTTCATTGCTTATCTTCTCATTATTACAATAAAAGATCATAAAAACTTTCTTTTCCCATGCAAAAAAAAGTTGTAATAGAACTGTTTATCTTCAGTTTCAAGTTCTTTAATAAGATGGTTGAATCCAATCTTTCATACAACAGCTTCTTATTATCTTTGCTTTGGCATTGCCGCCTTCTTCACATAGTATTGTGCAGCAGATAACTGCTGCTGTGTCTGCTTCAGACATTTTGTTACCATGGAGACAAAATACTGCGAGATATTATGAGATTGAGACTAATATCAGCAGATTGAATTAGCAAATCAATCAGTCGATGTTCGTTACAACCACTCAACATGTTGTACAATATTTGGAAATCGGCAGATATTTGCACATTCTGTAATACTTATGTATATGTTTCAGTTCAAGGTTCCTGCCCCCACCAGCGCTATTATAACTAATGACGGAATAGGAATCAACCCCGCACAGAGTGCAGGTAGGTGCCATGGCTAAGGGTCAGAAAACAGTTGAGCTCATGAAAATAGCCCTAGACAAGTGGCCTAGCAGCAATGTTTTAAACCATGGAAAAAATGACTGGGAATATTTGTCTGGTAGAGGGAATTCTTTGATAGGAACCTCTACTACACTTAGCTCTCAACATGTTCCTGCTTGAAAAAGACCGCCTCCGTGGTGTAGTGGTCAGAGCGTCCGCCGAGAGCGGAAGGTCACGGTTCAATCCTCGGCTCCATACCAAAGACCGTTAAAATATGGTACTTTGTTGGTCCCTGCCTGGCATTAATGGGTACAACAAGGACTGGTCGCCCAGTATACTGTGTGTGGGGTATTCATGCTCCACTGTGGCATGATACCTGTGGGCTAACTATAAAACCAGCTTCAGTCTGGGCTAGTACAAGCAGACGACGCGTGCACATACACACGCATGCATCAGTCATATGATCAAGCACGACGTTAAACCCAATTTCACCTCACCTCACCTCCTGCTTGAAAAATTCACCATGGTTATGTTTGCATGCCATCTGCATTGTTGAGAGACAAAATTACACCAGACAAAGACTCTTAATCATGTTGATAGAGAAACAATTTGAGATGAATGTTTATCATGTTTAAGTGTTATTGCTGATTAAGACTTTATTAGTGCTATCTGAGTTAAGGTATTTTACATTCTTCCATTTGATTGTAACCTTTGTTTCCAGGCAATGTGTTCCTGAAGCATGGCTCTGAGCTGCGGTTGATACCCCGGGACCGTGTAGGTCATCAATGAGCTGGCAGCTCCACATAGTCTCAGAAAATCTCATTCTCATATATCATCTCTCACTCAGTGTCCATGGCAACACAGCATCCCAAGATCCATGGCAACACCCAGCATCTACATGGAGGCCTACACAACTGACACCATCATCGATAGCTGCATATATTTACAATTATAAGTTGTGACTCAGTGAGCCAGTCTTCTATAATCCATTACTTTGCCATGTTAATTTGCTACTTGATAGATGGTACTGTTAGATATCTGTTTTGGGTTTTGTAAATATTGTCAATGTAACTAAGATGGACTGATGGTTGATGAAGAGGAATGACGTAGTTGTTAGAGTGATTGAGCAGTGTAAGTGTTGTTTAACTGCTTTATCTAGTCACTTCAGCCTAATTGCAGTCTGGGGCAGTGGGGTAGCCTAGAGGTTCAAGTATTCGCTCATCATGCTGATGGCCCGGGTTCGATTGCGCACATGGGTACAATGTGTGAAGCCCATTTCTGGTGTCCCCAGTCGTGATGTTGCTGGAATATTGCTAAAAGTAGCTTAAAACTAAACTCACTCACTTATTGCAATCTGTGACTGTACAACTCTTCTGTTGCCTGGGTCTAGTATAGTTTAAGATCATTCTATTACGCTCAGATAATAAGTGACCATATTATATAACTATAAAATGTATTCTTATAATAACAAAGCTCTGGCTGGTAGAGTCAAAAGTTAATACACACGTTTTTTGACCATAAAGAGTTTTCATGGCCATTGATTGTCAACTTGCTTCTTTATGTACATGATACTTGTTGAAATTTCCATAGGTTGTAAAATTATGAAGTTGTAGGTGAAACGATTACAAATCTCTACATTTGTCTTTTTCTGTTAAATATTACTGTAAGATATTTTTGTGAAAAATACCTTCATTTGTTATATTTATTATGTTGTGTGTAGTTTTCAGAGTGACAGATGTGACTGTTACGAAGCCTTCATCTGTTGTTACAATGGTACATGATGTCAAATGATGCATTACAGTTTTGTGATTACAATCACTGACATACTGTCCATGTCTTGAATGTTATGATCATTACACCAAACCACACTGTCTGAATAATATAGTGGTTTCATTGTCAGTTTGAAATCACCTCAGTAAATAAGGCTTTTTTTTAAACCAGATCAGATGGTATATGTTAGAAATCAATGTTCTTTTAAAAACCTTAGAAATACATACGCTGACATTTTTTAGTTGAATCACATCACTGCTCGTGTTTGTTGTCTAATTTTGCAAACATATATTAACAATCTGTGTCACATACAGTTTTTGTAGCCATGGACTCACTGCCAATATTTTTGTTTGTCACTTTGCAAATAATTCCTTTTCTCTATGTTGTCTAAGTCTGGATTGAAGTCAGTGTGTTGGTGGCATCGATTCATAGTGCAGAGTTGCTTCCCTTTGGCATGCTCAAAGATAGAATCCCAGTACAGTCCAGTCATGGACCCAGGTTTAACAGCACCATACCATACCCGTAGGTTTCACCAAAGTAGTAAACATCTGAAACCTACATCGTTTCTGGTTTTTCTCCTGTATAAAGCTGACAAACTGTGGTGTAACTGGAATACTGTTAAATCCAGCATAACTCACCGATGTCTGTTGAGAATCTTCCACCAAGCATATTGGCCCTTTGTTTCTTTGTATTGTTTGTTGATGTTAACACCAACATGACCAAGTGTTATGTACATGCCCACCATGGATGCTGATTTCAGAATTAATGCACGGTGTCGGTCAATTTTTAGTATCTATTTTCTCTTATATGAGTTAATATATTTGCAACCAATTCACAACAATATTAGGGTTCATGGGTTTGAACCCTGTTACTCATACAATTAGGCAAATCCATGCCCTTGGCTAAAGAGGGATGGGAGATCTCTTGGCTACACACCATCAAGTATTAGGTGAATATTGTTGATAATAGATGAAAAAGGACCTTGTTGGTTGTTTGAGTCAATCACTTCCTGGTGGCTTTGACCGATAAAGTTGAAAAAGGTACATCATTATGGAGGAACTTTTCATCAAGTGTTTACTGTGACTAAAATCAAATTGAATTGGAGTACAATAAGAGGACACTCTTGTACGATGTGTAAGATGAAGACTATTGCTACTGAACTGTTTCAGATGCTCTGTTGGTTTATGATACAACCTGCAATGTGTTATTTATTCAGGTAATGTTCAAAATAAGTGTACATATAAAGAAATAAAGTCAATTTTAATTATTTCCTTCAGTGTATTGTGTCATAATATCTTCTCCAATATAGAGACTTGGTTGATGGTGTCAACGAAGGTGTCTACGAACTCTAACAGGATAATGACTTATAATATCAATTATACTGGATTGTCTGATCAAAATCCTCCCATGCACACACACACACACACACACACACACACAATCATTGCATGTACCTCTGTAGTTCCTCCCAAATTCAATCACTGTATTGTCTGGTCCAGATCCTCACACAAACATACAGGAGTTGATGTCATCATCTCTCTGACCACAAACAGCCATCTGATGAAGATGATCAGTTTGCAGTGAAGAGATACACCTGTGTGTTCAGCTATAAGACTCCTAATTGGTCAAGTTATGTTTGGTAAATACCAACATTGAATAATATACTGCTTGAGATAATATATCTGACCAAGACAACATCCTACAAAATAATCAGTCGATTTATGTGGTGTCTAATATCCAAATGTTGCTCACAGGCACTGGTCACACAGTTTGACAGATAGCAAGGTCTTTACTTCCTGCTGTTGCTCAATGCCTGAACGCAAGTGATTTGCTGCTGGAATGCCTGCCAAAACTCCAGTCACCATAAGATGATGTTCCAGTTTGGGGCACAGTCGGCTGCTGAAACGAAGCAGATCGTAGCATTTTCCCCGGCTGAGTTCTTGCATGTAATGTGGAGGTTGATGATGGAGTGCTTTAAAAACATCCGAACTATTTACTAATTACTTGAGGATAGAAGTTTAAAATGACTTCAGATTCATCCATTATGAATTGGGTAATGGCAATCACTGAATACAGAAATAGTTTACATGTTCAACTGTCTCAGGTGAAAGGATTTTCCAACTAAGACTCTCATTGCTTTTTAAATAACCTGTAGAATCCTAACTTTTACCATATCGCTTGTTTTTGACTCAATCTGAACAAGATGTAGACAGTATAATATAAGATGAAGATCCTCGATCTTCTATTTCTCCAGTCACTGGAAGCTCTTGCACCATCAGTACTTTACAGCTTGCCAGAAAAACAAAACAAAAGTCCGCAACATTTCTCATTATGATGTTTGTATTTCATGATGCTTAGGGACTCATCGTTAACAGAATCTGTCCCAGAATTCATAGCTTCATCCTCCTTGTTCAGTATTATTTTCACAAAGACAAAGAGTTATGTATCATTGATCTTTGATAACATATTAAGTACTGATTTGTCTGACTTGCATAAGCCCAGCCAAACAGTCACATTATCTAGGTATTGTACAGGGTAAATACAAGGTGCCTTCACGAGATTGTGCAGAAGTTTCCTCAATGTCTTCTATCAGTACATATATATTAACAACACCCAATTCTTTCTTTTAAATTTGTCATGCCAATGCATTATTATAGTCGTTCATGTATAACAAATGAACTGTAGTAACATGAAAGAATCATTTCTTTCATGGTATTGTCAACCAAAAGGTCAGGGGAGGAAACTCCAGTCTAGCTCATCACTAATCTCAGACAGGCAGCCATGTCTATCTCTGCAGAATAGGTCCCATTCTTGTAAGGCTTGACTAAATGGGACTGGGTGGTCGTGCTCTCTATCACCATGGCCCCACATGCTGGTAACATGACCAGGCAATAAACTACTGGTCTGCCTGGCTCAGAGTTGATAATGTACAGAACATTTTACTGGATAATGCTAGCTGCAGCACAGCAAACTATAAATGCATTAACATATACCATTTTCTCTTTAATGGAAAAAGAGGAGACTTATCAAAACCATATACAATTAGAATTTCTTTTCAGAGACTGTTGGTAGTGAACAAATGGTTACAAGGCAATTTATACAATACTTCATTGCGGTTATCCATTGTTTTCTATAAATAGATCTACAATGGACACAAGAAAATATGAACTGTCCTGTAAAGTGTAACTTATCAAGGAGCACTTATAAAGATTACATATAGACTGGATAGAAGGTGATTCGTGGAGGGGGCTTATTGGATCAGACACCTAACATGATCAATATGGTAGTATACACTGTCCATGGATGCTGGTCGTCAACAAAAACTGTGCACCTTCGCCCTGCTAAGGGAAGTAACTCTGAGTGGAAACTTTAGTCAACTTTGCAGACTATGGTTCAAGGATGTAATAACAGAAAGAATTCAATGAACTGAAATAAAAAGTTCCTGATTATGTTAACTATAAGCAGGATCACTCTATGTTGAGCACATGGATATAAATGAAGGACAAAATGAAAACCTCATCAAATCGCATAAAAACAAATAGTGCATATGCAAATGAGTTCAGCTGATCGCATGAATGAATGTCAAGAAAAAATGGGTACTTAAAAGTCTGAGAGTTTACTTATAATATCTGAATGCAAACAAAATATGGTAATACTGCTCACGAAATCAGGAAAAACTCGCAAATAGTTCACATTTATACATGTGACAGAAAAACAAACTGGACACCAGTAAGTGTCCCTAAATGTTGACAATGCAAACACTATGTTCATTCAATTTACAGTGCTTAGGCTGGACCAGTTTTATGTCTTGTTTCACAATTTCTTTGTTAAAACAATAATTAGTTGTCAGAATTACATAAAGACAAATATAATGTACAAATTGTCAAACTCTGTGTTTATATTTTCAGAAAAAATATAATTTTAAAACATCTGAAAGACTAAATGGTACTGTATAACTGTAAAACAAGAAAACAAAATGGCCTGGCCTTCATATGAAACTTAGCATATAAACAAAAATAATAATGAATTCACTAAAACATTCCATGACAAGAAATTGCACTATATCAACAAATACTACTAGGGTGACAACATCCAGTAACTCAAGAGGGAGATCCATCCAGCATTATCTGTTAACTCAAAACAACGAGAAACTCTAACTTGACTTACTTGGAATGACATAAAATAAAAAATTGAGTAATTTGAAGTTACAGCAGAAAAAACATGGGTTAAAATGTTGACCTTTCCCTGAAGATCCTCAAGGTCAAATTCAAATCAATGGGACCTTCTCCATATTTATTGAAAAACATTTCCTTCGACAGACAAATATAAGAAATGACTATTATGTGTGAAATTTGACACTAAAAGCTTTCTCTTGTCAGCAAAGACCTAAAACTCACATAACTGCACTCATACTGAATTGTCTCCCTTTCTCCTATTGCTTCAAATCCACATGGGTTTGCAAACAAACCACAATGTTACCAAAGCATGTCACATGCAGAAGGACTAGATGTCTTGCTTAGATGATGCACATTATATATGTCAGGGAGTGTTTTAACTTTATAGAAATATAAACAATATTCTCAAACACAGAACATTTTTATGATGTTATACGTTTTTGATGGTGTGTACTTCAATATGAATATATGCAGACAACAAAAATATATGGATCTGAAATCCTGTTAAAAGACTGAAGTACATAGTACCGAATGTAAGAAACAAACAAACTTGAAAATGATGCGTCAAACAAGGAGATTTTGAAGCAGGCTTCACTATGCATGTGGAACACAAAACTGTGGTTGAGTTACAGACACAACTATATTCAAAACCTAAAAATCTTAGAATTAAAACCAAAAAAGGCTGCCTGTGTAACAAAAATGCATTACAGAGAAATGTAGTGTCATAAAAAATATATTTCTTTTGACAAATTTCTCAGAAAAATAACTTGAGGAGAGTATTTTTGTTGTGAACTAGAAGTTTGTCATCATGATCACTAGAACAATATTCCATTGATGATCATGATAGCATGTGATCATTGAGTGGAATGACACGACTGAGACACCTAGGTTACAGGTCTCCACTGGAAATGTAGCTGAACACCCGTTAAGAGGTAGCTTCAAGGAATGTTGAAAAAGAAAACAGCAAGAAAAATAGAGAGACATTGCACACGACAGTTTAGATTTCACTTGGGAGGTAGGAGGAACATCTACAAACCCTTCACTGAATGCCCTGTCGCTGTCATATCTTTTATCAGTTAATATGACACAAGTTTTATTCTTTTCAAACCAAACCACACTGACACGTGATGCTGCTGTCCACATTTTTGTGATCTTTGTTTTCGAGCCAACCTGTTTGAAAAGAAGCATTCATCATCATTTTATAAAAAACCTTTGCAACCACCATGCTTAAAATGATATGCATACAGTAGCATTCATATGGTCATATTTCGCACCTGTACAAAAATATGTTCGTTTTCCCCGTCATCTATAAACGAGACTATGTACACACTGATATGCTGACCCCAGTCTCCATGAACCCTGCCATGACGCCTGAGATACTTGCATGTTCTAGTTCCACGTCCTCATCAGTCGTCCTGTAAACCAGAAATACACACAATGTCAGCATTCCATGAGAGAAAACATTCCTGACAGAGCTACTCACTTCACCTTAAACCAGTTGGTATTTCCACTGACTATATGCACTAAGATATACTATCGCTATGCTTTCACAATAGACAGGTGTAGCCATAAGTTTTGTTGCTTAGAATTTCTAGTTTGTGTTTCCGTATTTCCCATTCATACACATGTTTGTTAGTTCTTTGAGTGAGTGAGTGGGTATGGTTTTACACCGCTTTTACAAAAATAAAAATTTATAGCAATATTCCAATTTTTATATCACAATATCCAGCAGGGGCGGGGACACCAGAAATGAGCTTCACACATTGTGCCCATGTTGGGAATCGAACCCAGGTCTTCAGCGTGACGACCAAACGCTTTAACCACTAGGCAACCTCGTCGCCCGTTAGTTGTTTGAAGTGATGAAGCATTTAGAAGTGATGAATGATTTTTTGGACATCAACTGAAGAAGGAGAAAGAATTTACTCTGAACATCGTGCTTGCCAAATACAGTTGAAATCACCCAAATCTTTGGTCTTCAGTTGAATAGGAGCAAGAATTTAACTTCAAAACATCATGTTTGACAAATAAAGAAGTTGATGTCCAAAAACTCTTTGACTCATGTTTGTTTGTCGTTTAACACTGCATTCTGCAATATATCAGAGACAGTTTATGATGTCAGACTATAGATAGTCAAGTCTGGAACAAACCAGATTTGGTGCTAGTGTGTGGCATGATAGGATTGATATAGATAATTGTGGTAAAAGGAATTATTTTCTCAACCATTCCATCAAAGTTGGTGAACAAGAACATTACTGACCCATTCATCGTCGTCCACCCCTCTGCTAGGTCCTGAGGCATGGGGGTGTCTTTTATGTCTAGCTTCTTGTCCATAGCACTCAGCAGCTACAACCCAGGAGGGACAATGTTACAGATATCAGACAGTACAGGGATGTTCAAAACCAGTCTAAGTAAACTTTGGTTCAGTAGTATGCGTTACACTGCTATACTGAGTCTAACAGACCCTAGTAGAAGGTTTACTTAGACTGGTTCAAAACTGACTGATGGCCAGTGAACAAAGGAGATACTGCCTCCCCCGGGTGTTTGCTTGGTTGTAGTTTAATGCCACACAGGCATATTCCAGCTTTTAAAAGATCAAGTCTGGACCAGACAATCCAGTGATTGATAATGTAATCACATGGTCAACCAAGTTACCAAGCCTGATTAGAAACTTCATTGGGTTGTCTCCCATGCCCAGCCCAGGATACTGGTCATTAGTTCTGATGCTGAATGGGGACCTAGAGTCAGTGAATATGGTTTTACCTGAATCTGCATGGGGACCTAATCAATGTGTATGGTGATACCACACTTCCAACATTCGACCATGTCTGCTGTTATATATTGGTGTGGCAAGCAAAACAATTCTGAACCAGTTTTGGTTCACATTTGGTTGATGCCCAACCAGGAAGACTGTAGGTTGTAGGCTGGTTATAGAACCCTTATCTCACAACACATGCTCACACTATCAACCACTGGCGAACCCAGTAAAAACAGGGAGGACTAAAGATGGTGATCTGGTGTTGATCCAGTAGTTTACCCCTCCCATGATGCCATATGACTCCTCACCTCTTCCTTCTTCTGGTCGTCCGACTTGTATGTGCTGGCATTGTAGCTCTCAAACTTCCTGGCCTTGGGCGCCTCGACTGGGGCCTCACTCACTGAAAGACAGACACCTCATTACACCCAGCCTTACAACTGTAAGACATCATTACACCCAACCTTACATCTGTGTAACCGTATTACACCCAAGTTTATTATTGTAAAACCACATTACATCTGTCCTCATTGCTATGAGGCCACTTTAATACCGGATGTCTCATAACAGTTGTTTACTTGCTGTTTAGTGACTCACATGGTTTCATGTCTGCTGGTCTGACACTGACTCTGGGCTGCTTCTTGTTGGATCCAGCAAACCACTCGGAACTGGTCATGACTGGTTCCCATGTCACTCGGGTATCAGGAAACAGATCATCTTGGAAATACTCCATCTGGAGATAACACAGTCACAAATATACAAGGAATCCTAAAAACTCGATCAGAAACAGACCAATTTGATTGTAGAATAATGAGACAGGACAATGTGATGAGATAACAGTGAGATATGACAATGTGATGAGATAACAGTGAGATATGACAAGGTGATGAAATAACAGTGAGATATGACTAGGTGATGAAATAACAGTGAGATATGACAAAAGTGATGAAAAATAACAGTGAGATATGACAAAAGTGATGAGATAACAGTGAGATATGACAAGGTGATGAGAGAACAGTGAGATATGACAAGGTGATGAGATAACAGTGAGATATGACAAGGTGATGAGATAACAGTGAGATATGACAAAAGTGATGAAATAACAGTGAGATATGACAAGGTGATGAGATAACAGTGAGATATGACAAGGTGATGAGATAACAGTGAGATATGACAAGGTGATGAGAGAACAGTGAGATATGACAAGGTGATGAGATAACAGTGAGATATGACAAGGTGATGAGAGAACAGTGAGATATGACAAGGTGATGAGATAACAGTGAGATATGACAAGGTGATGAGAGAACAGTGAGATATGACAAGGTGATGAGAGAACAGTGAGATATGACAAGGTGATGAGATAACAGTGAGATATGAACAGTGAGATATGACAAGACATGATGAGATAACATTAAGATATGACAAGGTGATGAGATAACAGTGAGATATGACAAGGTGATGAGATAACAGTGAGATATGACAAGGTGATGAGAGAACAGTGAGATATGACACAATCATGAGATAACAGTGAGATATGACAAGATAATGAGATAACAGTGAGATATGACAAGGTGATGAGATAACAGTGAGATATGACAAGGTGATGAGATAACATTAAGATATGACAAGGTGATGAGATAACAGTGAGATATGACAAGGTGATGAGATAACAGTGAGATATGACAAGGTGATGAGATAACAGTGAGATATGACAAGGTGATGAGATAACAGTGAGATATGACAAGGTGATGATAACAGTGAGATATGACAAATGAAATAACAGTGAGTATGACAAGAGATAACATGATATGACAAGGTGATGAGAGAACAGTGAGATATGACAAGGTGATGAGATAACAGTGAGATATGACAAGGTGATGAGATAACAGTGAGATATGACAAGGTGATGAGATAACAGTGAGATATGACAAGATCATGAGATAACAGTGAGATATGACAAGATAATGAGATAACAGTGAGATATGACAAGATAATGATGAGATAACAGTGAGATATGACAAGGTGATGAGATAACAGTGAGATATGACAAGGTGATGAGATAACAGTTGAGATATGACAAGGTGATGATAACAACATATGTGATGAGATAACAGTGAGATATGACAAGGTGATGAGATAACAGTGAGATATGACTAGGTGATGAGATAACAGTGAGAAATGACAAAGTGATGAAATAACAGTGAGATATGACAAGGATGAGAGAGAACAAGATATGACAGTGAGATAACATTAAGATATGACAAGATGAAACATTGAGATATGACAGGTGATGAGATATGACAAGGTGATGAGATAACAGAGATACATTCAAGATATATGACAAGATGATGAGATAACAGTGAGATATGACAAGGTGATGAGAGAACATTAAGATATGACAAGGTGATGAGATAACTTTAAGATATGACAAGGTAATGAGATAACAGTGAGATATGACAAGGTGATGAGATAACAGCGGGATATGTAAAGGTGATGAAATAACAGTGAGGATATGACTAGGTGATGAAATAAGGTGATGAGATAACAGTGAGATATGACAAGAGTGATGAAATAACAGTGAGATATGACACAATGAGATGAGATATGAGATGATGACAAGATAATGACACAATCATGAGATAACAGTGAGATATGACAAATTGATGAAATAACAGTGAGATATGACAAGATAATGAGATAACAGTGAGATATGACAAGATAATGAGATGTGAGATAACAGTGAGATATGACAAGATAATGAGATAACAGTGAGATATGACAAGATAATAAGATATGAGATAACAGTGAGATATGACAAGATAATGAGATAACAGTGAGATATGACAAGGTGATGGGAGCACTGCCACACATTCATCAACAGAGTGAGAGCATACCTTTACTCTGGGAACGGTGAAAGACACTGGTTCGACACTCGACTTGGTGAGGCGCCACGCAAAGGCAAACTCAACAATTCTAGGATCACAGCTAGTTTTGGGCATGAAAGACAAGGCTTGTGATTGGTTAGGTGTGGTGAACCCTGACACTGGAAACAGATGGGGCTCCTCCTCGCTGATCTCATAGGCACACACCTGACGATCTCCCTGAAGATACAAAACAAAATTATAAACAAATGAGTTTGACCACACACAACAAATTTAATCATATCGTAATCTGGATGTTGGAGCAAGACCTGAAGTGATGCAGAGCTTTGTGAAGCAACAATGTGAAATGTTTCCATCAAGCTGAAGTTCGTACCCGGCCCTGGAGGAAGACAACAGAGCTGTCTTCATCATAGAAGGGGATGCGAATGGCGGGTGAGATGTCGAGGTTCTCCCGCGCAAGTGGCTTGGTCAGGTCAGCTGCATCGTACAGGATAACTTCTCGTAAACTGTTTCTGAAAGACGATTATTATCTGTGTCACAACATCTCCATGACCAACTGTCAAACATTTACACACTTAAAGGAGCAAGTTGAGACTCAGGTCGGTGGCATATTTTGCGTCTAGGTGGTTCTGTGCTATAGGCCAAATGTTTTTCTTGCTTGTTATTTAATGCAGCAATATTCAGGCATATGACAGTGGCCTGTAAATAACATCCTGGATAAGACAAAACAGTGATATGCTGAGCCATGGCCCATGCTGATAAGATAACATGCAACCGAGTCACAGGGTCAGACCACCTGATCCATTATGTCGCCTTGTATAAAAATGTCTTGGAAACATGACTGGGCCACAAATGGATAGAAAGATGAAAATACATACATTAATATTTCCACTCTGGATAAATCTAGATGATTGTTACTCCACAATGAGTTGTGAAACAGTCCAAATTTTGTGACATTTACCCTGTATGCAACATTTCCATACCCAACATAGAATCCTACTCAACACCTAAAATATCTTCTCAAACCTGTTACCATAGTTACCTGTCAAAGCCAGACACAAACAAATATTTCCCTCCAAGTGCCCAGGTCACTCTCGCACCTCGACTCCCAGCTGGTCCTGGACCTTCCTGTAGACAGACACACATAGTATCAATCTCCCATATTGGCAGGAACATGAAACTGCTGAATGAGGTGGCTAGGGAACTGTATCTGACAACATCTTCTGACAACATCTTCAGGTCCCACTTTCAACAGTCTGAATCTGATTCTGCCATTCATACAAAGTGTCTACTTGCTCACGGCTCAAAATACTTGAGGAAAGGAACTAAACAAGGCAAGATGACAGATTCTAGTCTAGATTCGGAATCCGTCTACTCACTCTGAGTGGCTGTGAGCTCTTCCTTGGATCAAACACCCGGATTTTTCCATCCTTGCAAACTGTGGCGCAAAGATCTCCATCCGGACTCCATGCAAAGCAAAACACCTGACAATCAAATATAGCACATCAAATGCTGTACTGCAACTGCATCCTGAATGAACAATGAGACAAACATGCTGTGTTACCTATGTAGTGATATATTAGCTTCACGAGATGTACCACTGAAGGAAATGAATAGAATTTGGAGTCTGAAACGCCACAGAGCTATGGGATGTAACTCAGAGTAAATCTACCATATAGCCCCATCAAATGGGCTGTGTAAATCAGAGGTATGTTATTTTGATTTGAAGAATCACATTCATCCATGAGGGTAGAGTATGTAATGGTCATGAAAGTAACCATTTATTAATTGTGCAGAAATTGAACTGAAACTCAACCTTTGATCCGAGCTTAAATGATGTTGTAGGTCTAAGCTTACATGTGATTACATATATAGTACAGCACATAGGCAATACAGCAAGAACAAATGACCCCCTGAGTCCTCCTGTCTCGAAACCCATCACTACTGGTCTACAGATGACATGTAGATGATCCTTGCTACAAGACTGAGTGAGTGAGTTTAGTTTTACACCGCTTTTAGAAATATTCCAGCAATATCACGAAGGGGGACACCAGAAAAGGGCTTCACACAATGTACCCATGTGGAATCGAACCCGGGTCCTTCAGCATGACGAACAAACGCTTTAACCACTAGGCTACCCCCACAGTCCCTCTACTGAGACACTAAGGCACAGCTCCCTCATGCCTATAAATCATCCCCCCACCAAATGTTATTGGCAACTTCCTTCCTGCCTGACTTCCCTTCCCCACTTCCATCTGCCCCACCCCTCACCGCGTCTGTGTGTCCCTCCAGCTGCATGACCTCGGACCCGTCTGCCAGATCCCAGATGCGAACCGTCATGTCGTACGATGCCGTAACGACACCAGGATGTCTCGTGCCAGGGGATGAAAGCGTACGGAGTAAATCTTCTCCATGTGGCCTTAAAAGCATAACTTTAGTTTTAATCACAGGCTCTATTTCAAAACGTGTCATTTATTGATAAATGTAATTTATTCAACCCTATATTTCATTCAAATATAACACTCTTAATACAAAAACTATATTGTGTTGATTACTAAACCAAACATAAGAGTTCACCTCGAAGATTCATATCCACCTCAGTCATGTTTTCTGTTATGCCATTTTCAGGAATGGTCCAAATTCTGATCTTAGCATCATCACACGCTGAAAGAGGAAGTTCAAAAGTTTACCAAAATGGGCACTGCAAGTCCTGCCAAAGTATATATTGTACCAATGTCATTTTTCATTCAAAACTGGCTTCCACAGGAGATATTGATTAAGGAGACATAATGATGGCTGGGGGATTTTTAATATATTTTTAATTTTTATTTTTATGGTATTTTTTATTTGTTTATTTATTTATGATTTATTTATTTATTTATTTATTTTATTTTATTTTATTTTTTGGGGCACCCATTTTGTTCTGGAGAGGTAGGGGGTCACCAATTCTGTACACATGCATGCGGGGGTCACCAATTTTGTACACAAAAATTAAAAACATATGATTATAAATTACGGGGAAGGTGGGATGTCATGATGTTGTGCATAACATACAAGCGGGGGGTCACATATTTTGTACATAAATTTTAGGGGGTCATTCACATTGTACGATCATTCACATTGTACATGAAAAAAATCATCATCACCCCCTAGCCATAAATTATGAACGGTTCCTAAGTGAGTCGAAAATACATCACAATCAGACCATCATGCTGTCACAAGCAAATGACATGACTAATTGTTCTGTCACTGAAGCTGCAGGTGATTAGCTGTAATTTATACACCAGTTATTACCATTTACAAACTGAACAAAAGTTTAAAGAATGATTTTGGATGAAACATTTGACAAACAGAAACTCACCCTTGAGACAATTTACTGTCTCTGTTCATGTGAATCAAAAGACATTTGGGAGAAAATCTATGTTTCCATCATGGCTTCTATTATTTAATGATTTCCAGATTGTAAGTAAAATATATTGACTGTTAGGTGGGAGAACATAAAGTAAGCATTTCTGATTATTTATGGTCTTTACATCTGGTGCTTGCTAACTAGAATAGAAATATACAGAATGCAGGAGTTTAGTTAATAGCAGTATTCTCTCTTCAAATCATCACAAGTGATGCAACTTCAAAGGTGAGATAACTCTTACCAACTGCCAGTCTGTGGTTATCGAACGGGTCCCAGGAGAAATCCATCACCTTGCTTCCGTTTTGGAGGGCAGGGTTCCCAGAGTCGGGGAGGTGCCTGGGCTGGTCCAGCTAAACACAAGCCATCTTTCAGTTCGATACACAATACACTTATATAACAACTAAAATTAACTCTTTCAAACAGCAGAGTAGGTGAAGAAATAAGAGTGTATTCATGTTTCAAAAGTACTTCAGTCATGCTTGATTGGCATTTTTAGAAGATGCTATTTGATGAACAGAGAGACTTTTCTGGGTTTCATCTTCTTATAATTGTCAATAAAAAGAAGATGAAAACCAGAAAAGTCTCTCTCTACTGCAGTCATATCCATTTCTGCCTGTCTATGTCAGAGGATACGTTACCAAACTGGTACACGTTGCACATGCTGACCACTTCAATGAGCAGTGTGAATCTAATCAATCCTCGCAACCAAGGGACACAACTCTGTAATTGAGAGTATGATTTTACTCCGTTTTTTGCAATATTCCAGCAATTTCACGGCAGGGGACACCAGAAATGGGCTTCACACAGTGAAATCACTAGGCTACCCAATCGCCCTGAGGCAACTCAGGAAAGAGAGCATTTGTTTGATAATGGTTTGGAATACACTAGGCTCTCACTGTGATAAAAAGTTGTTCATCCATATATTGTTATCTCTGGAAGAGAGCATTTGCTTGATAATTGTGTTAGAACCTACCACCAAAATCACGGGCACTCACTGTGATAAAATTGTTGTTCATCCATAACGCTTTAACCACTGTTATCCCTCTAGACTCAGAACAAGTAGAAACAGAAGGATATAGCAGACTGTCTGAGCAGGATAAGAAAGTTCCCCAGCCCCACCTCCAGGATCATGATGAGACCCCCGGGTCCCTCCAGTGGCACTGCACAGCGCTGGGTGTTGGCGGCAAACATGTCACTCTCCCCCGGCACTGTCGTGCTGACATTCCGCAGGTTGTCGATGTGACGACTCTTGTGTAGAATCTGACCTTTCAAGTGACGGAACTTGGACGCACGGACACCTGTAGAGAGGATCAGTCATATCACTAGAACAGAAGGCTTTTTTTTGCAATAGTAACAGTGAATTTGGCATGTTTCTGCTTTATCAGCATATTCCAGTGAATTTTTCCAGCAATTCACAGCAATATTTAGCAATATTCCAGCAATATCACAGCAGGGACACCATGTGGGGAATTGAACCTGGGTCTTCGGAGTGATGAGTGAACGCTTTAACCACAAGGCTACCCCATTGCCATTGTTTGCTAGTAAATGATCATTACGAGGATATTTCTGAGATTTCACATTCACAGCAGTTCCTGCCACAAACAGAACAATACCAGCATGTTGTGGTGCCATCACAGACATTAGGAAATTGTCTTTGACATCATCATCTAAGCAACTTGTAAAGAACCATTTTGTCCCCAATTATGGGAACTATGTCACAAACCTGTAAACACTTTAACCGGTTTAGGGGGTTCAGCGTTTTCTTGTGGTTGCTCTACCGCTGCTGCAGCAGCCACTGGGGATGTTCTGCCAGAGTTGTCTGCCCCTTGCACATCTTCCTCTACTTTCACAGGAGTCTCGAGTTCTTGGGATGGTCTTTTCTGTTCAACCTGCTTTGGTGGGGTCGTGGGTCGGGTCTTTTCTGGGGAAGGTTTCGGCTTTTCTGATATGGGTTTTGGCTTTGTAGTGACCGGTTTGGGCTGCTGAAAAGGACCAAAAACATTTACAAAAATTTAAAAAACTTTTAAAGCTGATTGACTAACAATTTAGCATTGAGGTTTTATATAAAAAGGTGATTAAGTTTACAAACAACTGAGTAACTGTAATTGCCTAAAACTCTCCAAACACTTACATGAATCAAACTGTGACTTAAGCTCTTGAAATTTTAAAGAAAGAAAAAACATTGTTGAATCTATACAACTATCAGAAAAAAATTGCAACAAAGTAGACAAATAATTATTTGAGAATTCAAATAGACAAAGCATGCTTCTAATTGTTGCCTTACAGGGGAGGTTTCTTTAGAGGACAGACTCCCATTGGTTATCTGTGGTGCTGGAGAAGAACTGGTGCTAGCTGGGGCAGAACTTCCGCCGGTCAATAAAACAGCTCGGCGGTTGAAGTTGTTCTGCTTCTTAGATGGGTTGAGACTGATGAGCGATACCTGTGACATGGAGACGAAGTCATATGTAAAATATGCATCAAGGATAGCGAAGAGTTAGATTTTCAGAAAGTGAATAAATGATTTGCAAAATTAAAGGCTAACTCATCCAAGTTAACTTATCAGTATTCAAAACATTCCTTTGTACTTTTAAGGTGGGACAGGTTCAGTCAGTATAAGTGTTGACTTCAAATATGTTTGACAATAATTTTATTATGCTCATCATATGGAATATTTCTTACAGATGTCACATCTGCCAACATATCCACAGTCAGGTAAGGGAGCATTCATAATTTATAAATTAAGAGGGTGTGATGATGATTTTTATGGGGAAGCATGTATAAAGTGAATGACCCCATCCTAAAATTTATGCACAAAGTAAATGACCCCCCTGCATGTCATGTACAAAATTGATGCCCCCCCTACCTACCTCCCCAGAACAAAATGGGTGACCCCCATAAAATCGTCATCATCACACACATCACACCCACCCCAACCCCTAAGGCATAAATTATGAACGGTCCCTAAGTGGAACCCTGTTAGATATATTTCCATGTAAACATTTGAATGATGAATGAGTGTTGAAGCTCACCTACTGATGTCTGAATTGTTACAGAAGAGGCTGAGATTACAGTTCCTACTACTTCAGGAACCACAATGGACATCAGCAGGTATCGTGAACATATGAGGCTAAATGTCAACATCAATATAGCGAAGTTTCTGTGGAGACCACACACCTTGTCATTTTGTCCTGAGAACCACTGGTCTGCTGACATGGCAGGTTCCATGGACAGCGTCAGCGGGTAGAGGTCTTCATGGTAGTCTCTGTAGGACTGGAAGCAGAAATGACACTCACATCATGATGTTGTCACAGACCAAACAGCATCCATGATCAGTGGCTGACTAGAACGTTTACCACAAATGACAGAGTCAAATAAATCAAATGAGTTTGTTTGACCTTGCCCGGGAGAGGTCAAGGACTCAGTTAACATTGTATGCCACTTAATAAGTATCATCCTCGATAATCTCCAGGGTATACGTTACGATAACTATCCACTATACCCTGGATGCATCCACAGCTTGGGGCGATGATTTTATTACCTCCCTTGGCTGGCTTTTTATCCAATCAGGTGCCTATGCTGGGAAGTTGAGCGAACCAATCACAACTCACTTCCGCTTCTTAAATTATCTAACCGTTTAAACTTGGCAACACAACTGATGCAGAGGTACTCTGAAAGAAGTAGAAGGAGTTCTCTCATATAGTTTTTAAAGTTTCACATCTGTGAATTTGTCTTTATTATTTCCCAAAAAATCTGAGTGGCACTGCGAACAAACTTTCGCGACTGCGACTGCTATCTTAGTTGACACTGGCAAGCTCGGTTGTTACGGCGGCTGAGTTGATTGGCTACTGTGAGAATGTGGAGCCAGCAAAGGGAGGTAATGAAATCATCGCCCCAAGCCGTGGATGCATCCAGGGTATAGTGGAGAGTTATCGTAACATATACCCTGGAGACTATTGAGGATGAATAAGTATTTACATATTATCATTCACATTCAGTAATGAAAGTTTTCTTGTGGTTTTCAATACATTTTCACTCTAATGAGTCCTGTCTAATTTGAAAATAGAAAATCGTCTATGGTGCTTCAGGTAACTTCTAATTAGGATGTTTGTGAGCTGCCTAAATTTAATTACATGTTGCATCATCCTATAACAGTGATATATGTCTAAGTTAAAAGATGGGAGATGTTGTACATCTGTGAATTATTTAGAGCAGTAGAGTTCATATGTGTGTCATGACACCTGTATTGACATACACAGCCAGTGAGGTAGCCTAATGGTTACAGCGTTTGCTCATCACAACGAAGGCTGGGGTTGGATTCTACACATGAAAACAATGTATGAGGTCAATTTCAGGTATCCCCACCATGATATTGCTGGAATATTGCCAAAACGGATCCTCATTGTAATGACATACAGGGGCTGTATTATTTCCTCATGCATATTCGTACACAAGCAACTCAGCCTTAGTTGGTTTAATACATGTATTAAACAAATACAGAGCCTATCTGGAGATCTGAATGCTGTGAGGTACTAGTAATGTATTCTCTCTGGAAACCCTGCAGGTATAGAAGCTGACGACATACCTTCCTCGGGACGATGTACGGTGTAGGTATGATGGCGTTGTTGACGAGGCAGAGAAGTCGGTTCACCTCCCCACTCATCACATCCATGGCCCTCTTGGGTACAGTACACAGACCCTTGATCTGCTCTGTACGGTCAGTTGACCCTGAGATTACACACCGAACTGGGGTCAGTAAAACTACTAGATATAAGAATAAAAACTTTAAGATCAGAATAAAATAACTTATGTTTTCCTTCACTGTGATGTGATGTTGGTTGATAATGAAAATCAACACAAATCTAAGATAGAATGAATATTTGTCCATCATAATGACTTCACAGTGGAAAAACTATAGAAAACCAGTCTGTGCAATAATGAATTGTGTCTTGTCTGTTTATTTTGAAGGAAATGAAAACATTAAATACAGGCAAACACTGTGGTGTCAAAGTTAAAGGAACCTCACAAACACTCTGTCTTAACCAAGGTTGTACACATAGAAGGAGCACACAAGGAGCACGCCTTTACTTCAAGACAACCCTAAGTTTCACACAGTGTTTGACTGTACTTTAATATCTGAATATTCCAATATAAACATCTGATCTTGCACTCTAACATACAAGAAACAAATCAGCAATGTCCACATGACCTTGACACATTTACCACCACATGATGACAGTACAGATCAAATAACTGATCTTATTTTATCAGTTTCTTCAATCAAGACAAAATGTTATCTGACAGAGTGATATGTCTGCGGTCAATATAAGTTTTTAACTGACTGCCTGACTGAGTTTAGTTTTACGCCGCTTTTAGCAATATTCCAGCAATATCACGGCGGGGGACACCAGAAATGGGTTTCACACATTGTGCCCACGTAGGGAATCGAACCCGGGTCTTCGGTGTGACAAGCTGACGCTTTAATCACTAGGCTACCCCACCGCCCCAGTTGTTAACTGGTCATGAGGGGGACATCAACCCATGGGCCCCAAGGGACCAGTGAACAACGCATTTATCTTACCGAACACCTCAATGTTAATTTTTAACTGTTTGAAGCACGGGTATCAGATCATAATAAGGAGTACCAGAGTTAGGCAACAAGTCAAACACTACGAACACGAAGTACCAAATAAATTCCCACAGTTCGGCATTACCTGAGGGTAACATAGAAAATGTTACTCGCTTGTAAGCGGGGTACATTGGTTGTCTCAGCCAATCAGAAAATGACATTTATGTGTGAGGTAAGATAATAGGTTATGTCTCACCCTCAGTGATGTATGGACTCTTGTCTGTAAGCTCCAAGAAGCGAATCAGGTTGTCACCCTGAAATAACACACCAGATGTTAGAACACATACAAGTAGTGTTGCTGTGTGGTGCAGGTCCGTACTACATTCCTCATATCCTTCAGCTGATTGTTTGTGTATACCTCACACAGCTAATACTACAGCTATATCACAGCGGTCTGAAAATAATCAAGTCTGTACCAGACATTCCAGTGACTGACATCATGAGCATCGATCCAAGGAATTTGATATGATGACCTCCATCAAGCAAATCACTAAGCCTGACCACCTGATTCCGTTAGTCGTCTCTGATGACAAGTGTGAGTTCCTGATGACCCATTCCAAACCTTCATATGGCCAGTATCAACATGTACATGAATTACCACCTAAAATACTTGCCAGATGTTAAAGATATTCTCTGTAATTTAACATCACTGTGACAAACTAGTTATTTCTCTGTCAGACTTACTGGTAACTAGTGAAGAGACCATGAATGAACTTAATTTCTTTTATAAAACAGAACAAATCCAAATTTCTCTGGCTGTTATCAAAAAGTCTACAGGAATCCACTTGATATATTAAAGCACAAATTAGGGTCAGAGTTTTAGCATTAAAAATGTAATGGTAGTTCCACCTGTTTTCAAAAGGGCAGTACTATGATTTGGCTTTTAACATGTTTAATTTTGATTTAAATCTTGTTATGAAGCCAAGATTTAGTCACAATTACTAGTGTAGAGTTGTCCCCTTATAATGTGTGTTCTTATCACTTTATTTATCAAACATATCCAAGGGGAACCACTCCGCACATGACACCCACCTTGCCTGCGACGAACACCATGTTGGTATCCTGGTCAAAGAACGGCATCAGAATTCTGTAACAGTCACAAGCAACAGTAAACTACTACTACTACTAATACTAATAACAATATTGTCTGCTTGAATTGTGCTTAAACTCTATACCTTGCATGCTCAAAGTGCTAACCGTTATCAGGGAAATGGTGGGTTTTGAGTCAAAGAATAGTTTACATGGAGAATGGTCTGTGAGTTCTGTTGGGACAGTGCCAAAGATGTGCTGCCAAATGTAGCCAAATGGTACATCAGCAGGATTAGTGTGTGAGTCATAATTAAAGCAGGCTTGAACAGTGTTAGTTACATCATAACATGCCATCTGCTTGAATGAGGTTAGTGTGTGAGTCAAGCTGCTTGCTTGTTTGTTTGTATTTACCTTATATCATAGTTGCTTGCCATCTTAATGAGGTTTGTTTGCTTGTTTTGTTTGTTTGTTTGTTTGTTTGTTTGTTTGTTTGTTTGTTTGCTTGTTTGTTTGCTTGTTTGTTTGTTTGTTTAATGCTGCACTCAGCAAACTTGCAACATGATGGTGGTCTATAAATAACTGAGTCTGGACTACACAATCCAGTGATTAACATCATGAGTACTGATCTACACAATTGGGATAAGTGGACATGTGTCAACCAGGTCAGCAAGCATGACCATTAGTCTCTTTTCATGACAAACATGGGTAGCTGAAGATCAGATCGAACCCAGATCTTTACGGGTATATCAATGACAGAGGAAAACCAGATTGAAAATCATATTAAACAGGTGTAGTTCTGTCTCAGGATCATAATCGGGACAGATCTTGGAAATGATGCAACCATCACAATGGATCCTGGCACAGCTAAAGGGACACAACTTGTCATAACAAAGACCATTCTAGATCAACTGGCCCTTCCAGCAACATTTTAAGAATGTTTTATTTTTGTTGATCAATCAAAGCAGACAATGACTGATAAAATGATAAAACTGCTATCAATTCAAATCTGTGTCAAAATATTCAAGGATGAGTATTTTAAGCTCTAAGCTCTAAATTATCATTTGATATTGTTTCCTGTTTACCGTACAAACATAGCAATAAAAGTTTGCTATAATGCTGCTATCATTCTTAGAGTTCATAAAGTCACATCTTCAGACCGTCGCCATATAGCTGGAATATTGCTGAGTGCAGCGTAAAACTAAGCTCACTCACTCACTCACATGTTCAGGAGACACACTACTCTTACCCAGTAGAGGTGTCGAAAGATACGGAATGTAGTTTACTGGAAAAGTTTCGGATATCCCACAATCCTATGCAGCGAGCTCTAGACTGAAAGAGAAGTTCTGGTTGTCAAAACTGAAAATTTCTCAATAAATTGTACATCCATATACTTGTTCTATTTTCAAGCTTGAGCATCTGCTTCTTTCAATCTGGTGAGGAAAACTCCAAAACAAAGTTTCCAACTTCATACACACTTCATCCAAACACATCCCATTCATCACCATGGTAACAACCTAAACACATGGTCATGCATCAGTGCAGTCCCATGCTAAATGATCCAGTGCGACCTGATTATCCCATGCAACTCTCATTCTGTGAGACAGGTTAAGTTTAATCATTGGGAAAATGAAAAGAGTATAGACAATAAGTTCACTGAATTGGTGTCCCTACATTTCTTCCACTTACTATCCCTGAGGCAGATGAGTGAGTGAGTGAGTAAGGTTTTACGCCATTTTTAGCAATATTCCAGCAATATCATGGCAGGGGACACCAGAAATGGGCTTCACACATTGTACCTACTGTAAACGTATTATATCTCATAAAAAGTTTTATTTTCGGCTTTTGGCATAAAACATTTTAAGCGAAAATTTATACACACCCATGAATAAACCTGTCATTCATTCAGTCTAGCCCTGAGTTGTTACCATAACACATCAAGTTTGAAGACAAAATCACGGGAATCTTAAAATGGCGACTGATAGTAGCATAAAGAATCATACTTAACTGTCGCTATAATGGATTTCCCAAAACATAATTAAATAATGAGCCAAATACCATGCTTGAATTAGCTTTAAACAGCAATGTGTGTTGTGGCCGCCATGGAAATGGTCACATGACAGATGGTTTGATACAAAACAGATTACCATGAAACGAAACTTCGGAAAGAAATAATACAGCAGTATTTTATTTATTCATTAAGATTTTATTTACCAGTACATCATGAAGCGAATAGTCACTTAACACTCAATCATCTCATTCACAACAACCCGGCTTGTTTGAAAAATCACAAACAGCTTCATATACAGTAGAAGTTAATTGAGCCAGATCGTCGGAATTGAACATAAGACTGATGTGTTTTTCATCTCTTCCGTTGAGTAAAACAGATTACTGTGTACTAGTATATCTGAGGCAGATAGGGATTTCCTGTGAGTAAGTAATAAACGCCGCCCTGACAGGCAGCTATTAGTGGCCCAAAGAGACAGCCGCAGTTCGGCAATCACTGATTGGTAGCGAATAATTGACCAGTGCGATGTAGTCTAAACTGTCAATTCCATGAAAATTGCACCAAAATACTGAAAATAAGTACGTTTACAGTATTTGGGAATTGAATCTGGGTCTTTGGCGTGATGAACAAACGCTTTAACCACTAGACTACCCCACCGCCCATGAGGCAGATGAAGCCTGTTTAATCCTGATGACCAAGCTTGGAAAAACAAATTTCCAGACAAAATGCATCACTATTACAGAAAATTGTCTTTCTGTGTGGCAAGCTTTTCAGAACAATAATCTGGAAAGAGTAAAAGATCCTGACTAATGGTGTTTTACAGTACATATCTGGCATATAGCATGGTATGTCAATCAACACAATGTTATCAAACTTTCAGATGTATTGTGAACATTTTCACTAGTTCAATCCTTTCCATCTTCAAACCATTCCTCGTCAAACCAGGGTGTTTGTCTCCTTGAACTGTGCCTTGCCTCAGCCACTCTCTGACAGATGTTGGTTGTACAATGAAATATCTGCAGCTTTTAACATTCAGTAAAGAAATATTACTTACTGAATCATAGCCAGTTGCCATGATGATATCCTTGTCTCCCAGCCAAAGAACTCTGGAATCTTTGATGTTTCCATGACCTGGAGTTTCCTGAAAAATTCATGAAAATGTTAAAGAAAGGCTCTTCAATGTTGGCAGATGATATGATAACGATATGCAATAATATGATAACAACATAACGCGTGATATACATGTACTTATGTTCAAAAGAATCAATATTTTTCAGAGCTATTTGATTAAAAGTATATCACCCTATGTTTCTTTTATTCTGAGAAATATTTCTTAAGGAAATTAACTTCTAATAAATTCAAACCATGTTCTCTCCAGTTGTTACAAAATCATTACGACCTAACAGGGAGAAAACAATGACTACCTGAGATATGGAGCCAGCCCTGGGGTCAAATATCCTTAACGTCTTGTCTTTACAGGACGACAAAAGCAGTGACCCATCCCCCTTCCATGATATGCTTTGAACCAGGTCACCATGACCCTCCAGCACTGAAAGGTCAAAGACAACATAAAACAGTATAACAATGCTATGAGTGAGTGAGTGAGTGAGTTTAGTTTTACACCGCACTCAGCAATATTCCAGCTATATGGCAGCGGTCTGTAAATAATCAAGTCTGGACCAGACAATCCAGTGATCAACAGCATGAGCATCAATCTGCTCAATTGGGAACCGATGACATGTGTCAACCAAGTCAGCGAGCATGACCACTCGATCCCGTTAGTCGCCTCTTACGACAAGCATGGGTTACTGAAGATCAATATTCTAACCCGGACCTGCACGGGTATTTAGGTCAAGGAAAAATCCTGGGTTAGTCTGTGCAGTATAGTTGATAGGAGATAATAAATACATGTTGAAGAAGCCTATCAGGAGATTCTTTGCTTAGGTCAAGGACATGTGATAACTGATAAGAAGAGAGAATTATGGGTTGAGACATTTTCAACTGATAGTTTGTGCAGATCAGATGCACATTTCTCCTCTGCGTAAATCCCTGCTCACCGTATTTCTCCTGGGACCTGCAGACATCGTAAACTTGGACTGATCTGTACGATGACGCGGCTAGAACTCCGTCAGCTGTCGGGTGCCACAATACATTTTCAATCTTCCTGTCTTCAGTGGGCAGATTCACAACATGGTTGCTCTCGCTCTCAAAACCAGGGTCTTCTGGCAGAAGCCAGACCTTCACCTGAGATTAACCACATTAGAAATATATACCCAGTCAAAGTCTTCCATTTCTCATTCAACCATCAGATTTTGTCATGCCTGATGTTGAAACAGCTTAGCATCAAAGGCGGATCTAGAGGTGTGCGTGTGTGTGTGTGCGCGTGCGTGCATGCATGCGTACACTGTGGCGTATGTGTGTGTTGTGTGTTGTGTTGTGTGTGTGTGTGTGTGTGTGTGTGTTGTGCATTGAATGCATCAGTCAGTTGCAGTCAGCTTTTTCAATAATAATTGATAAAATGGCTGTTTATATATTTTTTCAGTTTGAAAATATAATGAAATCACTACAACGAAACAAATTTTTATTTCACAAAAAATGGTGAGACTACTTACTGACTGGTCACTGGACCCTGTTGCCAGGAGGTAATCATCGAATGGGGAGAAGTCAAAATCTGTCACCAGGTCTGAAACATATATCGTTCACCTCTGTGAGACACATACCCGTGGAGATCCTGGTTAGAATTGATCTTCAGTAACCCATGCTTGTCATAAGAGGCGACTGATGGGATCATGTGGTCAGACTTGCTGACTTGGTTGACACATGTCATTGGTTCCCAATTGCGCAGATTGATGCTCTTGCTGTTGATCACTGGATTGTCTGGTCCAGACTCGATTATTTACAGACTGCCGCCATATAGCTGGAATATTGCTGAGTGCGGCGTAACACTAAACTCACTCAGTCACTGTGAGACACACAGTTTTGCTGCCTCCAGTAGCAAAATAACTAATCCACCTCGGGTATTATGTGACGAGCTGATGCTTTAACCATTGAGCCCTTACCCTACGCCCCACTGTTAGGTATTACCTACACAGAGGAAAGATCTTGTTCTTAAATATCCTTTGAGGGTTGTTTCTGTGCTTCAACACATGTACAATACTTCTGTTATGTCAGCATGTACAATACTTCTGTTATGTCAGCATGTACAATACTTCTGTTATGTCAGCATGTACAATACTTCTGTTATGTCAGCATGTACAATACTTCTGTTATGTCAACATGTACAATAATTTGTTATGTCTTCTGTTATGTCAGCATGTACAATACTTCTGTTATGTCAGCATGTACAATAATTCTGTTATGTCAGCATGTACAATACTTCTGTTATGTCAGCATGTACAATGCTTCTGTTATGTCAACATGTACAATACTTCTGTTATGTCAACATGTACAATGCTTCTGTTGTCAACATGTACAATACTTCTGTTATGTCAGCATGTACAATACTTCTGTTATGTCAGCATGTACAATACTTCTGTTGCCTCCAGTAGCAACCAATCCCTCAGCGTGGCGAGCTGATGCTTTAACCATTGAGCTACCCTACCATACCCCACCTTAGGTATTACCTACACAGAGGAAAAGATCCAGGGATTCTTGGATCCTTGAGGGTTGTTTTCTGTGCTTCAACACATGTACAATACTACTCTGTTATGTCAGCATGTACAATACTTCTGTTATGTCAGCATGTACAATACTTCTGTTATGTCAGCATGTACAATACTGCTTCTGTCACATGTACAATACTGTCAGCATGTACAATAATGTGTTATGTCAGCATGTACAATACTTCTGTTATGTCAGCATGTACAATACTTCTGTTATGTCAACATGTACAATACTTCTGTTATGTCAACATGTACAATACTTCTGTTATGTCAGCATGTACAATACTTCTGTTATGTCAGCATGTACAATACTTCTGTTATGTCAGCATGTACAATATACTTCTGTTATGTCAGCATGTACAATACTTCTGTTATGTCAGCATGTACAATACTTCTGTTATGTCAGCATGTACAATACTTCTGTTATGTCAGCATGTACAATGCTTCTGTTATGTCAGCATGTACAATACTTCTGTTATGTCAGCATGTACAATACTTCTGTTATGTCAGCATGTACAATACTTCTGTTATGTCAGCATGTACAATACTTCTGTTATGTCAGCATGTACAATACTTCTGTTATGTCAGCATGTACAATACTTCTGTTATGTCAGCATGTACAATGCTTCTGTTATGTCAACATGTACAATACTTCTGTTATGTCAGCATGTACAATACTTCTGTTATGTCAGCATGTACAATACTTCTGTTATGTCAAGCATGTACAAATACTTCTGTTATGTCAGCATGTACAATACTTCTGTTATGTCAACATGTACAATACTTCTGTTATGTCAGCATGTACAATACTTCTGTTATGTCAACATGTACAATACTTCTGTTATGTCAGCATGTACAATACTTCTGTTATGTCAGCATGTACAATACTTCTGTTATGTCAGCATACTTCTGTAATAATACTTGTTATGTCAGCATGTACAATACTTCTGTTATGTCAGCATGTACAATACTTCTGTTATGTCAGCATGTACAATACTTGTTATGTCAGCATGTACAATACTTCTGTTATGTCAGCATGTACAATACTTCTGTTATGTCAGCATGTACAATACTTCTGTTATGTCAGCATGTACAATACTTGTTATGTCAGCATGTACAATACTTCTGTTATGTCAGCATGTACAATACTTCTGTTATGTCAATATGTACAAATACTTCTGTTATGTCAGCATGTACAATACTTCTGTTATGTCAGCATGTACAATACTTCTGTTATGTCAGCATGTAAGTACGTACAATACTTCTGTTATGTCAACATGTACAATGCTTCTGTTATGTCAGCATGTACAATGCTTCTGTTATGTCAGCATGTACAATACTTCTGTTATGTCAGCATGTACAATGCTTCTGTGTTATGTCAGCATGTACAATACTTCTGTTATGTCAGTATTTACAATGCTTCTGTTATGTCAGTATGTACAATACTTCTGTTATGTCAACATGTACAATACTTCTGTTATGTCAGCATGTACAATGCTTCTGTTATGTCAGCGTGTATTAATACTTCTGTTATGTCAGCATGTACAATGCTTCTGTTATGTCAGCATGTACAATACTTCTGTTATGTCAGCATGTACAATGCTTTTGTTATGTCAGCATGTACAATACTTCTGTTATGTCAACATGTACAATACTTCTGTTATGTCAGCATGTACAATACTTCTGTTATGTCAACATGTACAATACTTCTGTTATGTCAGCATGTACAATACTTCTGTTATGTCAGCATGTACAATACTTCTGTTATGTCAGCATGTACAATACTTCTGTTATGTCAACATGTACAATACTTCTGTTATGTCAGCATGTACAATACTTCTGTTATGTCAGCATATACAATACTTCTGTTATGTCAGTATGTACAATACTTCTGTTATGTCAATGTACAATACTTCTGTTATGTCAACATGTACAATACTTGTTATGTCAGCATGTACAATACTTCTGTTATGTCAGCATGTACAATACTTCTGTTATGTCAATGTACAATGCTTCTGTTATGTCAGCATGTACACGATTGCTTCTGTTATGTCAACATGTACAATACTTCTGTTATGTCAGCATGTACAATACTTCTGTTATGTCAACATCTACAATACTTCTGTTATGTCAACATGTACAATACTTCTGTTATGTCAACATGTACAATACTCTGTTATGTCAACATGTACAATACTTCTGTTGTCAACATGTACAATACTTCTGTTATGTCAACATGTACAATACTTCTGTTGTCAACATGTACAATACTTCTGTTATGTCAACATGTACAATACTTCTGTTATGTCAGCATGTACAATACTTCTGTTGCCTCCAGTAGCAAACTAACCCTCAGCTGATCTAGCTGATGCTTTAACCATTGAGCTACCCTACCCCATCACCTAACCTTAGGGTATATTACCTACACAGAGGAAAGATCCAGGGGTTCTTGGATCCTTGAGGGTTGTTTCTGTGCTCAAACACATGTACAATACTTCTGTTATGTCAGCATGTACAATACTCTGTTATGTCAGCATGTACAATACTTCTGTTATGTCAACATGTACAATACTTCTGTTATGTCAACATGTACAATACTTCTGTTGTCAACATGTACAATACTTCTGTTATGTCAACATGTACAATACTTCTGTTATGTCAACATGTACAATACTTCTGTTGTCAACATGTAATAATACTTCTGTTGTCAGCATGTACAATACTTCTGTTATGTCAGCATGTACAATGCTTCTGTTGTCAGCATGTACAATACTTCTGTTGTCAGCATGTACAATACTTCTGTTATGTCAACATGTACAATACTTCTGTTATGTCAACATGTACAATACTTCTGTTATGTCAGCATGTACAATACTTCTGTTATGTCAGCATGTACAATTTTTCTGTTATGTCAGCATGTACAATACTCCTGTTATGTCAGCATGTACAATACTTCTGTTATGTCAACATGTACAATACTTCTGTTATGTCAACATGTACAATACTTCTGTTATGTCAGCATGTACAATACTTCTGTTATGTCAGCATGTACAATACTTCTGTTATGTCAGCATGTACAATACTTCTGTTATGTCAGCATGTACAATACTTCTGTTATGTCAACATGTACAATAATACTTCTGTTATGTCATGTACAATACTTCTGTTATGTCAACATGTACAATACTTCTGTTATGTCAACATGTACAATACTTCTGTTATGTCAGCATGTACAATACTTCTGTTATGTCAGCATGTACAATACTTGTTATGTCAGCATGTACAATACTTCTGTTATGTCAGCATGTACAATACTTCTGTTATGTCAGCATGTACAATACTTCTGTTATGTCAGCATGTACAATACTTCTGTTGTCAGCATGTACAATACTTCTGTTATGTCAGCATGTACAATACTTGTTATGTCAACATGTACAATACTTCTGTTATGTCAGCATGTACAATACTTCTGTTTTATACAAGCATCGAATGGTGCTGACAACAGACATGACAAAACACATAATCAGGTGATTCAACCAACAATCATTAAGTGCAATCATTCGTTTGTTCGTGAGTGAGTGAGTGATTTTAGGTTTATGCCATCTGATCCCGACCCGATCTTACGACAAGTATGGGTTACTGAAGATCAATTCTAACCCGGATCTTCACCTGTCGGTACAGTCATGATCTAAAGGAAGCAACTCTGTAAGGTAATCACAGTGCCTTACGTCACTGACCTGGATGTCACAACCTGGCAGGTCCACTCACCTCCATGAGCATGTAGAAATGGTATCTTCATCCCTTGTCGCCCTGTACAATTCAGTGGTAGAATCCCTAAACTGCCTCCACCTGATACAGAGAAATCTTTATGATGCATCCAGTTCAACATTAACCAGGCCAGACCAAATCAATTATGTTCATCCTCATTCACACCATCGTAATCATGTTTATTTGCCTCTAGTTTTCTCCTACTTAACCTTTTTGTGGTATGAGTGAGTGAATAAGGTTTTACACTGCTTTTAGCCATATTCCAGCAACACTGCAGCAGAGGGCACCAGAAATGGGCTTCACACATTGTACTCATGCAGGAAATCGAACCCAGGTCTTCGCTTTGACAAGTGAACACTTTAAACACAAGGCTACTCCACTTCCCCTTTGCCTAGTATAAAATTCTCTGAAGCAAGTATCTCAACTGGCTTGGCCTAAATTGTCAGCGAGGATATTAAATTTTGTTCAGTGAGATGAGAGAAGATGCATGGTTTAATAGGTAAATGAAAATATTCTGAAGTGATGGATATTTGATGCATATTTGACACAGGAAATCGTACCTGGGTCTTTGACGTGTCAAGTGAATACTTTAACCACTAGGCTACCTCACTGCTTCTTTGTCAGGTTTAAAATTCTCTGAAACAAGTATCTAAACTGGCCTGGCCAAAATTGTCAGCGAGGATATGAAATTTTGTTTAGTGAGATGATGCATGGTTTAATAGGTAAAAGAAAATATTCTGAAGTGATGGATATTTGATGCACATTTGACACAACATGACCATACCTGTTGAGTCCACATTGAAAGCCATGTACTTAGCACTGGCCTTGATGTGGTTCCCCTGAGAGTTCATCAATGTTCCAATAGGAAGTTCTGATATCCATTCCTGGCAAGCAGTCAATTTCATTAAAAGTCATTTGTACAAAAGGGGTCATCAATCTTATAGATGTTCTACTGTGATGAAATTTACTTCTTGTCTTCAAACTTAACCTTTGTTTTAAAGATAACATGTTAATATTGTCAATATAGACAACATTTCATCAGCAAGTTTGGCTGAATCAGGGATTTTTCCTTTATCTCTCTGCCCCTTTTGTTACAGATCTATAACATATATGACAATGTTTGCCATTACACTAATTACTCATACTGAACAGAAGAATATAATTTAGCATGAGAAATGAAAGGGGTTATTCACTAACATATATGAAGACCACTGTAACAACATAGAAATATACATCTACAAACCTCTTTCTTGGGAAACTTTGGGACAGAATTCTTATATTTTGATGCCTTAAATCTCCAAGCCATGGTGAATATTCTGCAAATAAAACACATGCATGCAAAACATATGCTTCAGTGACAAATTAAATCTATGCCTAAAAACTATTGAGAATATTTAAACAAACTCAATAAGAAATGAAATGTGAATGTAGCAATCATACATTGTCCTTGAAATAAAATGAATAATCGTAAGAGTATTTATGTATAAATTGTTTAACGTAATTATTTCCAAACCTGCACCAAACACGAAATACGCCGATGGTGTCGAACGCTATAGATTATCAACTGGGAACTGTGTGTATTAATTATCCAGTAACATCACAAAGCTAGCGCCAGAGTTCACCTCACGTCAAGCCTGTTGATCAGTTTGATGATTCAACAGATGACAAACTGTAAAAGCCCGAGGCATTACAAACACATGGAGCTGAACGGTAAAATTACACACGGCTTGGGATGGGTTCGGTAAACGAGGAAGTTTCACGTGGTTGATCAAACCTGCTGACTGATAAGCAACAAAAACGTCAGTCTCTTTTGTTTTGACATGGAATATTGAAACAGGTGTTCGGAAAAGGGGGCGTGTCCTGTTCGGTGGGGTAACTCAAGCGAATGAAGTTATGAGTGGGATCAATCATTTCATCTGTTGTTAAAGTTAACTGTAAACAGTACCGTTATGTCTTTTTCGATACAGCTAGGCTTTATGCCGACAATGGACCGCTATCACAACAACAAGGAAATGTCACAGGCACCGATGGTTGTTTGAAGTTTCCGGTTCTGAGTTCACGCGAGAATCTTCGCAAATATCCGAGAGAGCTCCGAAAGGAACGACACAAATGTCATTTGACATATTTCGTCATTTTTATCAATGAATCGATTGTCAATAGTATAATAAATATTGTGTAAAATATCTATGTATATTTTGATTCCTGAAATATTCTTTGATCTTTAATAAATTTGAAAATACATCGCCTAAATAACTCAACTCCTTTCGAGCACCATCCAACAGAAAACATGGCGGCGCTCAGACGAACATGCGCTGAGCTGACTCGTCGCAGTGTTAACACACAGAGTAGCACAGTCCGTTCATGTCTTCAGTTGGAGCACATGACGCCAACGCCATTACCAGTCAGATCACTATCATATGCATCGTCGTTTAAGTCTACAAATGTTACAATAGGTATGGTTTATGTAACTGTCATGGTTCAGTTTTCGTTCAATGACTCTGAACGAGACGATTGTTACATCTTGCAGCCCTGCTATGTTTTGTCCCATTTATTTGTATGAGATATTTGTCAGATGATGTATTCTCCATTAATGTGTTTGTTTTTATTGTGCACAATCAGGCGACTTTGCTACGATTACATCATTGCACTCTGCGCGATGAGTGTCCTTGTGAATACAGAATTGCGTCATTTACAATAACGACAAGAGAAAGGCTAATGAACAGTCAGTTGTGACTCAAGATTTCGTTTGTTTGTTGTTTAAAACCGCACTCAGCAATAATCCAGCTATATGGTGGCATTCTGTACATAATCGCATCTGGACCAGACAATCCAGTGATCAACAGCATGAGCATTTTTCTATGCAATTGGGATACAGTGACATGTGTCAACCAAGTCAGCAAGCCTGACCACCCGATGCCATTAGTCGCCTCATACAACCAACGTGGATTTGGATTGGTTAGTATCTAGGATCATTCCACAAGTTATGTCATGATCCAGGTAGCTATCACTTAACCATGTCATACAGGTTTAACATCATTTTATCCCTCCTGAAGACACTTTATGCAGCTGAATGAGGCTAACAATGGCATACTGTGACAATGATCCACACATATAATTTTACACTGGATTATTTTGTAAAAACTGTATCTACGAAATTATGGACCCAATCAGAACCCAATTGTTTAAGTTAATGCTCATGCACTGTAGCCATTGTTTATGATAAAAACTGTATGGATTTTCATGAAATGACATTGGCCTAATTTGTTTAAAGAGATAGCTTACCCAATATGTCTTGAAGAATGTTACTGTTAGTGAATCACAGTCAAGTGGAAGTCTACTAACATTAACAGCAGCCAAGCAGCTATACAGTGCCTATTGACACTTGTTTGTTTGGGTTCATGCATCATTGATGCTTTGATCCCTGAGGTTATTTTCCCTCAATGCTATGTGCTGGGACCTGCACGTTCCCAGATAGTCAGGCTGTAGCATCGTCAAGCACAAACTTGGAATGTAATGTTACATAATGGTCTGGAATGCAGAAACATGAAGGGGAAATCTCCATCCTTATTCTAAACTATGTCATGCATACAGATTTTATGAAATGCCTACCTGATGTATTGATACATATTGAAGTCCTTACATGATTATGTTATGTTGCTTTGGCCAACACAAAATTGTTGCTTCAACCATGTGTACTTACATCAGTGTTTATGGCTTTTTCTAACTGAAAGTGGCTGTCAGATTTAGCATTTTCGTAATGAACGATAATAAAGTAACACTAGTCTTAGTACTGGTAGTTGTTAGACCAGGTTATTGCCCAATTGTTTTAATATTTCTTTTGAAATTACCAGTACAGAAGTTTAAAGGTCACATGGTCAAGCATAATTAGAGTCACAATTATCACTTATTCATGACATAAATACATTGCTACTGGTTATGAAAAACATATAAACAAAATTGTGCTTATCAAAGTGCTTATTTGGTTTGGTTTACTGTCCTGGGCGGGTGGGTGTGCACATGTAACGTTTCACTGGTGTTTGTGTGTATATATAGAGATGTTGTACAAATACATGCTCATTTTTGTGTATAACATTCCCAAATCAACAGACATCATAACATGTCATGATGGTCATGCCTGTCTGTGTAATTACATAATCAACTGTTGCTTTATGGTCCTGATTGGTGTTAAGTTCAAATTGCATATGGTCAGTGATCGCGGTTGGTATTGAATATTGTCATTAGCAGACAGGCAGGCAGACACACAGGTGTCAATAAAACAAGACATTGAGTTTTGTCTGGGCTATATCACAGTTAGAAATTCTGTCAACGCTAAATAATGACACTTTTTAGTATCGAATTGAGAAAGCGACTCATAAGAACGGGTGGGTGAAAATAGACAAATGATTCTCATGAATACAGCTGTCATAACATATAATTTCACCTCAACGAAACATTAAGAAAATAGCCTCACACCAAAGCCTTCACATCGAATATTCACCGGACAGCCCGCTGAAGTTGGCTGTCCTATTTCACTCATTTTGATAATGAGCGGTAATAAAGAAACACTGAAAAGTCGGGGAAAATTAGTGAATGTTAGACTCAGGGTTATTGCCCAACTTGTTTTAATTTGCATTTTTGATGATTTGTTTTGTGAAATTACTTATCAGTACAGAAGTATAAGTCAATACATGGGTGTGTATGTTCCTGTCTTCATGCATTATTTATAGTGCATCCTTATGTGATTTGAAGACAAGAATACTAATGAGCTACGACTTGCCATATCTTACTATGTCCTTTTTCTGCAGGTTTTGGTCAAACATTGCGGAAGTGTCCTCAAGTGACCTCTGTCTGCTTTGTCCACACATCAAACTCTAAACACAAGCGTGACTACTATGAGGTGCTAGGAGTGGATCGGTCAGCAGATAGTGCAACCATAAAGAAAAAGTACTATCAGGTAACCATGGCAACAGCCTCAGTGGATGGTACCAAATGCAACATTTCACTGTACAACTTCATTTATTAGTACTCATTGATTGCATGATTATGTGAAAGTCCTTTAAACCAAAATTCTGATTATGTTTTTCTGAATTAGATCTGCTGGCATGCTGTTGCATTTGCAGTGCAATAGTTATCAACAATTGAATTCTTTTTCAGAAGAAGTCCACCTTGGGGTACATATAAGCATTAAAATGTCCATTTTAAATCCTACGACAGTTGTAACTATATTTTTCAATAAAATATTTACAAAACAAAAAACTTGTTTTGTCTTGTGAGACCACCCCTACAGGGCCCCACAAGGCAGACCCCCAGCCAAGAGCAGGTACAGCCACCCTCAGAGCACTTTGCACTCTGTTAAATAGACCTGTTGTGTTACCTGAGTTTGCTCTCACTTTTCATGAGTGTAAAAGAGTCTCAATCTGTTATGTATGGTTACTTTCTTTACGTGCATTAGATGGACTTCATATTATGATATTCTCATTGATCTTTGTTGTAACTTTGCCATGGGTTCTCTGTTTTCCAGCCTTGTTGCAGGCAAAATGGCGGCCATGGTTTCCTTGCGAGTAGGTTTTCATATTGTTAGCTTCATGTGGTTCTTGGTAGCTTGTAGTTGGGAGTTCATATCTTATGTTTGTTGATATTATGTGGTTCTTGGTAGCTTGTAGTATTGTGTTCATATATTATGTTTGCACACAATGTGGCTCATAGTGGCGAGGTTGTGTTTGTTTTGTTTTTTTGCCTGGGTTTCTGTGCCTCCTGCGCATTCTTTCAGGCATGCAGATTTTATGTTTTTTCACTAATCTGCTTCCCCAGGCAGGGATAATTTTTTATGAAAGGTTCTAAGGAAATCCCTTTATCGTCCCCACGCCTACTTACTCCTTCCCCAAAAGGATCGACAATGTTGCTACACTAACGATTGATTTCTTACTTATAGCAGCTGCGGAGATCGTTGGTGCACGCTCTCATCTCAGATGTGGTTTCCAGACTCTGAGAGGAGATTGGTACCGGGTCTACGGGTAGAGATTACACTAGGCGCATCTTTTGGGGAGGATCGGACCCGAGCTTGATTTATCAGGCTACTCCTATGTGTCTTAGGATCAGGGTTGGCTGTTGGTCTACAACCGCCCGATCACTTTGGCTGGTTTACGGATGTTCTGAACCCCGTGGAGTAGTACTGGGGACCCAGATTTATCGGGCTTCGGCACTGGTAGGGCGCACTTTCCCGGCCCGGTAGTTTAGGTCTCGGCCTGTTCAGGTCTGGCGCCTTGACCAAGAAGCTATCGAGTGTGCCGGGTCTGCCGGTCACCTCGGCACTCTCGAGGTCTGTCTGAGTGCTTGGGATACCTTGTTTATCAGTGGACAAGTGATTTGAGCTTCGTCTCTTTTACAGTACTTTGAACTTAACACTGAGTAGGTTCGTCCCTGAGGCAAGTCGCGAGATAGAATCGCGGCTGTGTTGCCTCAGGTGTTGTCCGTGTCGAATACCGAACCGTTAGAGTTAAGCCCCTGGAGGGACAAGGCCTCACACTCTACCGTCAGTCTGCCGTTGTTTCCCCATAACAGTTCAACGAACTGTATGCTCTACTCGGCGCATCTCTCAGCTCTGCTGAGGGAGCTGGTGGAAAGGGGAAAGAGTGCCGGTGATTTTTTTATCGGCAACTCTGGGCGGCATATCATCTGGCTAGGGACTGTATTGTAGCTGTGCCAGCCAAATGATGAGTGCGGTTATGGGCCTATGGCGCCGGGAACTGTTTCGAGGAATACGGAAGTCTGTCGAGCTTCTCGTTAATCCCTCAGATGCCCAGGCACCGGCAAACGTTATGTTGCCGACTGCAGGGGTTTACTGTATTCTACTACGAAGCCCGGTAGAAGTGTGAAACGCCAGTGTCGGCTTCCCGGGAGACGGCGAAAATACTCCATGCCGAGATCCAGTCTCTGCTGGGCAAGGCAACCATCAAGTTGGTTTCCAATGGTCAGGAAAATGTGGGGTTTGACTCCATTTATTTCCTTGTTGCCATTAAGAACGGAATGTTCAGACCCATGCTCAGCTGAGAGCTGAACAAGTTAATAGAGGTACTGTCCTTCAAGATGGAGACACCGCGCTCGCTCTGGTGATCTCATCTGTCGAGACAGGGGATTAAGCGCCAATCAATGCGACCTTGATGTCGCGTACCTCCTTGTCTATTGAGGGGCGGTGGGGTAGCCTAGTGATTAAAGCGTTGGCTCGTCACGCCGAGGACCGAGGTTCGAATCCGCACATGGGTACAATGTGTGAAGCCCATTTCTGGTGTCCCCCGCCGTGATGTTGCTGGAATATTGCTAAAAGCGGCGTAAAACCCAAAGTCAGTCAGTCAGTCCTTGTCTATTGCACCCTGATTTCAAGATTTACTTTCGGTTCTTCTTCGACGGGACGTACTACCAGTTTCGCGTGTGCTCCCCTTAGGCTACATTCTGGCCAAGGGTCTTCACCAAATTGAGGTTTATTACAGCCCAGATAGCCAGATCGCAGCTAGTGCCGGTGTTGTCACCCGTACCTAGGCGACTGGCTCATCGGGGTTTTAGAATAACAGTTGAGTCTGGGAACCTCACGATCAGTGTTGGTCACTCTTACAAAACTGTGCCGAATTGTCAACCTCACACAGTCAGATGGACAGACGTCAGGCGTCTCTCCGAGGGACTCCCCCTGGAGACACCGTCGCTCTCAGTCCAGCCAGATACATCCCTGCCGGGTTAGGGCGATGTTCTGGGCGACCTGCGGTCTCTTGACAACGAAGTCACAACCACATCATGTGCTGGAATTGACAGCTGTCAGGTTGGTGTTCGATCCTGCATGCGGGATTCAATTACCTTTTCGACCAGACATTCTCACTCTGAGCGAGGCCCACACCCCTCGGATTCTCTGGGTGGCTTGGCCTCTGTCGGGTCTAACCCCCAGACACCGCGGAATTCTTGCAGCCGTTGCAGACACAATTCTGGCTTGAGTGAGATTCGACACCTGTTCAGTGTGTTGATCTGTGGGGCACGCCGGTGTGCAGATAGGGGATTTCAGAATCCCTATTCTGCGGATTTAGTTCGGATATTGGAGTTACTATAACCTAGTTTTTGTTGAGAGCCTTATGACCTCCACCATTCCGGGTACTCCATGGCTATTTCCGCGTTTCTGCTCTCTGCCTAGGCAGCACTCTCTCGTTACAGCACTTTGTAGCTGGCATGAACAGGGTTCGACTGCCTCAGCGGCGACCGAGCCCACCTTGAAAATTGCCAATTATACTCAATTGGCTGTCTGGCCCTGACTTTTCAAGTATATCGTCTCTCTCACTTCACATGTTGGCGTGGAAGGCGGCTTTACTTGTAGTGGTGAGCTCTGGTAGAAGGGTCGGGTACATCCATCAGCGATACCCACTGACCCGACACTGACAGTATTTTATACTGATCATGTCGTATTAAGCCTCCGAAACCTACCACTCTCAGTTGATATTGCTTTCCACGTGACTGCTCATATCGAACTTCCACCATTACCAGCCTTCCACACAGGGACCCGATCTTTTCGATTGCTCACCTGTTGGAGTAACTATAACGAGCGAGCGAAAGGGATCATACTAGTTGAAGGCAGACTGGGTAGGGCAGATGCCGCTTTGTTGACAATACACAGCGGCACTGCTCAATGAAGAGATCGGTTCTGTCGCTCTTTGGAGCCGGCAGAACGCCTTCATTCGCCATTACCGACTTGACACGCATTCTAAGGATCGTGCACGGTTCGGTCTTTCGGTTCTCTCCAGTGGAGAGTGTCCTGCCACCCTGACCAAGTTAGTAACTGGTCATTGGTATCGGTTCTGTGTTCAATGTCGATATGGTTCATATCACTACATCGTATAAGCCTTACCACCCTTTTCGGGTTGGGTCGGGTTTGGGTGTACATACGTCCCTTACGTCCTCTTCACTTAAAGGCAAGAGAGGGCGGGGCCGGTTTTGAACGCTATAACCAGTCATATGCTATTAACCCGTCTTGCGACGGAATTGGGTACGAACCCCCCCACGGGTCACTGTTTGGTATGCCTCTCTTTAACCCGCATGTCACGTGACCAGGTTAGTGTAATAGTGAGCCAATACATGTTCAGCTACACTTTTCGCTATTCAGGGGATTTTTGTACGCTAACAGTTTTTCCCTCTTCCCGAGACTTCGGTATTTGGGAGTCTGTTTTCATCAGCACTTTGGGTGATGGTGGTTTACACTTACCCTCCTCACGTCGAGGGCGTTTGGTGGGGGTGCTTTATCCTGCTTTTCACTCGTACAATGCATGGTGTTTGTACTCGTTCAATTTCCTCAGTAAGTTTTTAGCAAGGCTAATAATTTCTCTGGGTTTTATCGAGGTCCCGGCAAGCCCTCTTCCAAACAGGAGGGGTGCATTCGAGCATTAGTTTGCAGTACTTATTAGCTCGACTCCTGGGTTATTGGCTTTTAATCGTTTTTTACGCTTTCCCTTCCCTTATACCTGTCACGACGCTTCTCTGGTTCGGACTATTAAGGTTGGGAGTTGTTTCGGCATGTCCCCATACATTCCTTTCCATTGTAATGGTTGGGGGTGGGGTTTTATGTCATAATTGATTTGAGCCAATTGACGTATTAGCTTGGGCTCTCTATTTCCCGCCCTAGCCACGCCCCCGCCTGATTGACATCAGCGGTCAGGTGGCTCGGTAAGTGAGTTTTTCTATTTCCGTATCGGTTGTAGATTTCACTCCACCACAGGTTTAGTTGTTGCCAGACAGAATGCCACTCCCGTCTCAAATATCTTTGGGAGTCTGTCTTATGCTTATATGTACCCCAAGGAGGACTTCTTCTGAAAAAGAATTATACAAACCTGTAGAGGTTATGAATTCTTTGAAGAAAGTCCTCCTTGGGGTATAACTTCGATCACCCACCTCTTCCTCATTCTGTCTGATAATGTTCAGCATGAAAAGTGAGGTCACGAGGTAGAGCGGTGAGAGTTACCTGCTCTTGGCTGTAGGGGGTCCGGTGGGGCCCTGTCATCGGAGTGGTCTCACAAGACAAAACAAATTTTTTGTTTTGTAAATATTTTATTGAAAAATATAGTTACAACTGTCATAGAATTTAAAATGGACATTTTAATGCTTGCATGTACCCCAAGGAGGACTTTCTTCAAAGAATTCATAACCTCTACAGGTTTGTATAAATAGTGCTGCTTGATCATGGTGACAGTGTAGTAGAATATTCAAACCAAACAGAATTCATTCTGTTATATAGTTAGCATAATCTCTGCACACTTTGCAGGTTTCAAATTTGACTGTACAATCTTTCCGCCACTTATTTATTGTATTTATTACCTATGAAGATTATAAAACTGTCATTTATTATGCATATTATCAACAATACTATCATCACTACTGGTATTTTTAATTCCTGTCAGGCGGCGGGGTAGTCTAATGGTTAAAGCATCGGCTTGTCACACTGAAGACCCGGATTTGATTCCCCACATGGGTGGGGTGCGGTGGGGTAGCTAAGTGATTAAAGCGTTCGCTCGCCACGCCAAAGACCCAGGTTCGATTACCCACATGGGTACAATGTGTTAAGCCCATTTCTGGTGTCCCCCTCCAAATTACCATGGTTAATAGTTCATAAGTTTCTGGGTAATTGTGATTTAGCATTTTTAACATATCTGGTTAACATCTGTCTCCTCCTGCAGCTTGCCAAGAAATACCATCCTGACGTCAGCAAGAACGATGCCTCTGCTGCCTCCAAGTTTCAAGAAGTGTCAGAGGCTTATGAGGTATGCATGTTCCACCCTTAGAACTTCTCCCAAGACCTATCTCTTTCATCTACCCATGAAGATCTGGGTTAGAATTGGTCTTTGGCAACCTATGCTTATCATAAGTGGCAACTTAAGGGTGGTCAGGCTCACTGGCTTGGTTGATACATGTCATTGTTTCCCAAAATGGGTAGCTCGATGCTCATGCTGTTGATCACTAGATTGCCTGGTCCAGACTCAATTATTTACAAACCGCCATCATAGTGATGGAATTTTGTTGAGTGAGTGTTAAAAAGACAAACAAGGAAAACAAATTGAAGAATTGTAAAATATTGCTTGTACATAGCAGTGTTAGAATGATAAACAAAATTAACAGGATGAGAAAATCACTGTTCTGAAACGTTTACTTTTATTTCCCATTGCCAAATTTGGGCACAGTGTTTCAGTAAAGGGAATTAGTTCCTTCAAGCGTCAAGGGTAAAAATGAATCAGGTAAGCCACTGAACCTGCAATATGAACCATTGTTTCAGTATTCACACCAATGTTTGATTTCCCAAGTATGTAGAATGTTTGAAGCCAATTTGTAGTGTCCCCATTCTAATGGAACATTGGTTAAAGTGGCATAAAATCATATTCAGTTTCTCAGTTGGTGCTATGTTCTGATAGCAGCATTCCGACTGATGATAACTCACCCCAGCAGTATGACACATTTGGGATGGCCGGGGGTGTAGACAGTGAATGATGTTGATGGTCTGTGTTGCTGTGTGCAGGTGCTGGGGACACAGCCAAGAGACAGCAGTATGACGCGTATGGGATGGCCGGGGGTGCAGAAAGTGCAGGACAGAGACAAGGAGGATTCTCTGGTAAGCTTCACCTGAAGTCTCATCCCTTTAAATCCCATTTTCATTCCCTAATTTCATTTCATTATCCATTGTTCCAAACTGTTTCTATTCTTAACCTACACATAGTTGAGGCCATTGGTGACCAAGTCATCGATGGAGCTGAAGCTTGCTGGGGAAAGTTGCTTACCTATGGCAAGCCAGAATCCAGGGATCGTGGATTTGAGTCACATTACTGTTTCTGCTCGCTCAGCATTTATTCTAGCAGCAATAGCTGCACGATTGCTGATGTTAACCCTCAAAATAACTGTGGACATTTGTGGTCAAGTTGTCTCAATTCTGAAGTTTGCTATGGAGAAATGCATACCTTAGGCAAGCCAGAATCCTTTGATCATGGGTTTTGATAACTTTATTTTGTCCCCTCACTCAGTATGGTGTCTGGTTGACACATGTCATCATTTCCCAGTTGTGTAGATCAATGCTCATGTTCTTGATGACTGGATTGTCTGGTCCAGACTCAGTTATTTACAGACCGCCTCAATATAGCTGGAATATTGCTGTGTGTGACGTAAAACTGAACTCACTCACTCACTCACTCACTCACTCACTCACTCACTCACTCACTCACTCACTCACTCACTCACTCACTCACTCACTCACTCACTCACTCACTCACTCACTCACTCACTCACTCACTCACTCACTCACTCACTCACTGTATGGTGTGGCACCATGAACAGCTGCAAAATGGCTCATGTCATGTTAAACAGTAGTCACTCCCTCAATCAGTTTGTATTCTCTTGCAGGTTTTGAAAACTTCCACGGCTCCATTGACCCAGAGGAACTGTTCAGGAATATTTTTGGCAATGCTGGATTCGGATGTCTGGTTTTGGCAACATGAATGACTTTGAAGAGTCCAAGTTTGGGTTTGCCCCAGCATCAGAAGTAAGTATGGTGTATGTTTAGGTCACAACTTGCTGATTGACATTGCTTTTAGCCAGCAGGCCAGACCAGGGACTCTTTGCAGAGAGGGGGTGGTGGGTAGTCGAGTGGTTAAGGTGTTTGCTCTTCACACTGAAAACCCTGGTTTGATTCACCACATAGGTACAATGTGTGGAGCCTATTTGTGGTCATGATATTGCTGGAATATTGTTGAAAGTGACCTAAAATTGAACCAACATTTAGCTGTTACCCTTTTATCACATCCAGGATTTAGTTGGAGTAATGTTATGTGAAATGAGTTACTTGACTCGACAAGGATTTGAACTGCTCAGAGTATTTATGTCACCTTGCTCACAAACCATGTGGGATTGAAATATAGATCCTTGGGATGAACTCCTGGGATGAACTCCTTGGATGAACTCCTTGGATGAACTCATGAGGATGAACTCTAGGATGAGCTCCTTGGATGAACTCCTAGGATGAACTCCTTGGATGAACTCCTTGGATGAACTCCTAGGATGAACTCCTTTGATGATGAACTCCTAGGATGAACTCCTTGGATGAACTCCTGAACTCTTGGGCGATGAGCTCCTTGGATGAACTCCTAGGATGAGCTCCTCTTGGATGAACTCCTTGGATGAACTCCTTGGATGAACTCCTTGGATGAACTCCTTGGATGAACTCCTAGGATGAACTCCTTGGATGAACTCCTAGGATGAACTCCTTGGATGAACTCCTAGGATGAACTCCTTTGGATGAACTCCTAGGATGAACTCCTTGGATGAACTCCTTGATGAACTAGGATGAACTCTTTGGAACTCCTTGGATGAACTCATGAATATGAACTCCTTGATGATGAACTCCTGATACTCCTTGGATGAACTCCTTGGATGAAATCCTAGGATGAACTCCTTGGATGAGCTCCTAGGATGAACTCTGAACTAGATGAACTTCTTGGATGAACTCATGAACTCTCTTGGATGAACTCTGCTCTTTTGGAACTTTTTGGATGAACTCATGCTATTTGGATGAACTCTTTTAATTCCTTTTGAGCACAGCCCTTCAGCCTCTTGTTTCAGAAACCTGTATTTTGTTTCTCTGCTTCCAGATAATGATGGACCTGACCTTTCAAGAAGCAGCTCGTGGCGTGAACAAGGACATCAATGTCAATGTGAAGGACATCTGTCCCAAATGTTCAGGGAAGAAGGCAGAACCGGGAACAAAACCTGTCAAGTGCCATTTCTGCAATGGGACAGGAATGGTAATTTGTATAGATGTACATCAAAAACAATTATCAGTTACAACTTCCACATCTAAGTACAGTGGTGATGTACTCAGACAGCAGACTCATGGCATATAAGACGCCCCTCAATAGATGTTATACAGCACCACTTTCGTACCACTAGAGCAATTTGTCATAGCCTGATTCTTTCACACTCCTGGCATGACACAATAGCTTTACTAGTAATATGAAAGAATCAGATGTTCTACGACATATTTTAAGTGGTATATAAAGCATTTCTGACTTCTGTTCTTCCCTTCAGGTATTTAGCATTTTTAAAACACCATTTTTCCAGTGTCAGTAGTCATAGGCACTATTGGGTGATCTGTTTAAGTTGTTTACGACTTCTAATTTGATTGCAGTTTTGTTTTAATAAAACTATGGCAAGAATTATTTGTGGTAAGCATCCACACCACTAGATTGTACTCATTTAAATATGGCTTGAGTATGTAATGCAGCTAGACAGGTTTTCCTATAGTTTTTGAATACCTGAAGGTATATCACAGAAAACTGTACCTAAGAACCAGAGTGCTTCTTTTATTATCCCCCACTACAAAGTGAGGGGGATATAAGTTTGAGCTCCGTCCAAGATGATGGGGGGGGACAGATTTTCTCAGAAATCATTGTAGATTACCAAATTTGGTATATGTTTTCAGGACATGAATGCATTGATGGACTTTGAAAACAAAAAAGCGTTACTACAATTTGTTACAGAGTTATGGCCCTTGTCATTTTTCTTCACTTAGTGCACGTTATCCCCAATGGGGACAGATTTTCTCAGTAACCGTTACAGATGGGAAACCAAATGCGGTATGTGTTTTCAGGACATGAATGTCCTGGTGGTGTTAAAAAACAGGAACCATGGGGCGGGGATATTGATGACCATGTCTTCTTGTTGCTGGTGACATTTTAAATGATTGTGACAGGAAACAATCAACACTGGGCCGTTCATGATGCGGACAACATGTCGACACTGCTTCGGGAGTCGTGTGTTGATCAAGACGCCGTGTACAGAATGTAACGGAAAGGGCAGCCTCATTATGAGGAAGAAAGTAACAGTTCCTGTCCCAGCCGGGGTGGAGAATGGACAGACAGTCAGGATGCCTGTGGGCAGACAGGAAATCTTTATTACATTCAAAGTAAGTGTGGCTTAGAATCTCTGATATACATGGTGTAGAATAAACGTTCTTGATGGATTGCTGTTGTGATTTGCGTCACAAGTTACTGAGGGCAGATAGCAACACAGTTTGAGAAGGTATACTGATGAGTGTTTAGTAGCTTAGTTAGGGGCTTAGTTGAGGGGTGGTGGGGTGGCCTAGTGGTTTAAGTGCTTGCTTGTCGCGCCAAAGGCCCGGGTTCGATTCCCCACATGGGTACAATGTGTGAAGCCCATTTCTGGTGTCCCCCATCGTGATATTGCTGAAATATTGCTAAAAGGGCTAAAAACCAAACTACTCACTCACTCACTCACTCACTCACTCACTCACTCACTCACTCACTCACTCACTCACTCACTCACTCACTCACTCACTCACTCACTCACTCACTCACTCACTCACTCACTCACTCACTCACTCACTCACTCACTCACTCACTCACTCACTCACTCTTATTGAGTACAAAGTTGAGGTGTGTTTAGTAAATGTACCATTGAACATGCATTACACTTCTCCTTGACTATATTGTGTGTATTTTTCAGGTGGCAAAGAGTCGAGTGTTCCGGCGTGAAGGTGCTGATGTGCATAGTGATGTTACTGTTAGTCTTTCACAATCCATCCTCGGAGGTACGCTACGCATACCAGGGATATATGACGACATACTGTTAACGGTAAGGTTGTTATTCTGCATTGCTTGATAAGTTGCCTCCCCTTGTCATGACAGGATCGTATGACCATGAGTTTGCCCTGATTATGATCCTTGGTTTCTCAGCACCATACCCTTGGATTCTACCAAAGTCATACATCAAGGGCTTTCGTCCTGTAGCAGGGCACCACAATTTGCTTTTCAGAGTTGTGCCTTTGACATACTAGAAACTTATGATCATTTGTACAAATTCATGTTAACCATGGTTACGTTGCTAGGTTTTTCAATACCACTCCTGCCCCACTCCCACACCCACACCCACACCCACACCCACACCCATGCACACACCCCCCGCTCACACACCCACTCCCACACACCCACCCACACCCACACTAACTCACCACCCACTCACACCCACACCCACACCCACACCCACCCCACACCCACTCCCCACACACTCTCACACCTGCTCCCACTCACACACCCACACACACCCACTCACTCCCACACCCACACCCACAAACACCCACCCACACTAACTCCTGCTCCCTCACCCACTCCCGCTCCCACTCCCACTCCCATTCCCATTCCCACACCCATGGGTTTCACCCAAGTTGTTGATGTCGAGATGAGACATGCATCACTTCAGGCAGTTTCTCCCACTTCACTGTTTTGCTACATTGTATGCTGGGATGGTTCAGTTGAGACATTTTGTGCTGGGATGGTTCAGTTGAGACATTTTGTGCTGGGATGGTTCAGTTGAGACATTTTGTGCTGGGATGGTTCAGTTGAGACATTGTATGCTGGGATGGTTCAGTTGAGACATTGTATGCTGGGATGGTTCAGTTGAGACATTGTATGCTGGGATGGTTCAGTTGATACATTGTATGCTGGGATGGTTCAGTTGGTTCAGTTGAGACATTGTATGCTGGGATGGTTCAGTTGGTTTAGTTGAGACATTTTGTGCTGGGATGGTTCAGTTGAGACATCCTATGCTGGGATGGTTCATTTGAGACATTGTATGCTGGGATGGTTCAGTTGAGACATTGTATGCTGGGATGGTTCAGTTGGTTCAGTTGAGACATTGTATGCTGGGATGGTTCAGTTGAGACATTGTATGCTGGGATGGTTCAGTTGATACATTGTATGCTGGGATGGTTCAGTTGGTTCAGTTGAAACATTGTATGCTGGGATGGTTCAGTTGAGACATTGTATGCTGGGATGGTTCAGTTGATACATTGTATGCTGGGATGGTTCAGTTGGTTCAGTTGAGACATTTTATGCTGGGATGGTTCAGTTGGTTTAGTTGAGACATTTTGTGCTGGGATGGTTCAGTTGAGACATTTTGTGCTGGGATGGTTCAGTTGAGACATTTTGTGCTTGGATGGTTCAGTTGATACATTTTATGCTGGGATGGTTCAGTTGAGACATTTTATGCTGTTTTTGTCAAACTATTTATGATTCAATATAACACTGAGTTACTGAAGTCCCAGCTTCACGTGAAATGAAAAGTTGCTTCCCTTACCTGTGTCAGGACCTGCTGTTGTTTAAAGGTCACATGCAACCAAAAAATCAAACATAATTAAAACACAATTATCACTTATTCATGACACATAATCATTCTCTTCCCACAGAGGTTACTCCTGTCATATCTTCCTACGTAACCTCTGTTCTAATACGGCCATATTTCCCGGTTCTCGTAAAATCCCCTAGCGGCAAAAGATCGCAACATGAATTATCTCCCTTCTTTCTATCCAATCAGAAAATGTGTTACATCGACTTAGATTCAACTTGACTAACACAAGCAAATGTGAGGCCACAAATATCCCCCATCTGCCGGGGACTTGTGTTGATGTTACACACAAGACGTTTAATGGCTAGCTTGTCCGTTGTCAACGAGGGCGATGGAGACGCCACTGATCCGCCATAACATGACTGAGTTCTGTCTAGAAGAAACGTTTGCGCATCGCGCAGGGGAAGAAGTTTAGTTTTCTCAAAGCATACGGAAATTACCGAGGCCTTGCGAATGATCACTTTTGAAACAACGTCGCTGATTGCACAACTAAATCTGATTGCCTCCAATCACGAGTCTTGAACGCTCACACCATGAAAGGGCCATATTAGAACAGAGGTTACATAGGAAGATATGACAGGAGTAACCTCTGTGGGAAGAGAATGGACACATAATGTACATTGCTGATTTTGAAAAAAACATATAAAAAAAATTATAAGCGTACAATCGCAAATCAAAAATGCAATATTTGGTACTTGGGTTTACTTCCAGCGAACGAAGTCAGAGCAGGTGGGTGTGCACTCACCCAAAGTTTCATTGGCTGGTTCTTTTGCCGATGCGGCTCATTGTGGTGTGTGTATATAGAAGTTGAGTTTGTAACAATGACTTTCATTGGTATGGCAATCAACAGACATCATAACATGTGTCATGTGTACAAGTATCACATCTGTAATTACATAATGTGACAGAGACCGAACCCGGGCCATAAATCAATGCGTTTTGTTTATGGTGTATTGCCTGATAGGTGTTAAGTTCAAATTGCATGTGGTCAGTGATCGAAGTTGTGTATTGAATATTGTCATTAGCAGACAGGCAGGCAGACACATAGGTGTCAATAAAACAGACATTGAGTTTTGTCTGTGACAACTACATATCTATATCACAGTTAGAAATTCTGTCAATGCTATATAATGACATTGCTTTTAAGTATCGAACTGAGAAAGTGACTCGGTAAGAAGAACGTGTGGTGAAATAGACAAATGAAATTATATAAACAGTTAAATTGGTAATCTACTGTCATAACATATAAAAAGCTCTCACCTGTGAAATATCAACAAAACATTAGAAAAATAGCTCACATCAAAGCCTTCACCGAGTATTCACCGCCAGAGAAGGTTTTCCGTCTTGAAATGTCAAACACCTCACTGGTTGACACATAGCTGAGTAGATCTAGATCCTAACAAGGTTCTTTTATGTAATGAGTAGATTATTTACTATTTGTTTTGATTAGACTACTCCTGCTCACGAACTTATAAAGGTCGCTTCCAAGCTTTGCGAACCTATTTCACTGCGCATGCGCTATGAGCCCAGCCCAGCTGTTGAAACCACTTTTCACCCAAAGCTTGGGGTGAATTTAGTGAATCGATTGAACTCAGATTTCAGCGGGGGTGGGGGCGTTATTTTTCAACTTTATAAGTTGAATTTGAATTATCGATGATTTCCGTCTGACAGGCCATACAGAAAGATATCAGAATCTGCAAAGTTGTGTTTTACGTTGCATGTGACCTTTAATAAAGATTTAATTCCCAGAGCTGTCTTGATGTTTTTACTTTGGCCGACAATTTGTACCAATCAGTGCCAACTCCGATCACTGTCTGCCTTCGTCACTACACCTGAAGTGACTCATTGCTTCAAAGTTAACTCCTGTTTTCCAGATCCCCAATGGCACCCAGTCCCATGAGAGGATACGACTGCCGGGGAAGGGAATCAGCAGGGTCAACAGCTATGGCTACGGAGATCACTACGTCCATATCAAGATTAAAATACCCACGTAAGTAGTAGGTGCCATACAAAGACAGTTTGATATATGTGCATCAATCTATGTACAATTACTTACCTCACGTCTAATTACAGTACTCTTACCGGGTGTTAAAACTTATCCTCTAATTACAGTACTCATTACTGGGCTTAGTTAAATATATAATTTTGATACCTATATTGAAAAGGAGCCCTAGGGAGACCAGAGATTCAGAACATGAGGAAATCTAGACTTTGTAGGGATAATGTGGTTCTGTAGTAATACCTGTACTGTGATATATGTCATAGACCCAAGTCTCACAAACCCTGACTGTATCTGGACAGACACACTAAAACTTTTCACTACAGCAATTTGAGTAGGTCGGATTTTGTGCATTTTTCTGTTAGGAAGAGGTGGATTTTGTCCGGGGTGACAATTTTGGGGTGGATTTTGTCCGGTTGGATTTTGTCCGGTTACCATCTGGACTCAAGGTCAAGTCTGAATGTCTAGTCTTTTACTCCCTTACTGAGCACCTAATGTCCTGTGACTTTGTACTCCATTCATATGTACCATTAGTGACTGAATCCAATGCTTATAGCCTTCCAGCAACATCATGGCAGGTTACACCAGAAATGGGCTTCACACATTCAACCCGGTCTTCGATGACCAGCCAACGCTTTAACCATTAGGCTGTCCCATTCGCCCCCCCATATTGTGATGTTGCTGGAATATTGCTAAAAGCAGCGTAAAACCAAACTCAGTCAGTCAGTACTGAGCATCTTGTCCCACATGCTCTAGTTGAGTATCTACCAGTCCCTTGCTCCGTGCCTTGTGTCATATACCCTTACAAAGAGCCCAGTAACCATTACGGGGCGGTGGGGTAGCCTAATGGTTTAAGCGTTGGCTCGTCACGCCGAAGACCCAGGTTCAAATCCAACCATGGGTACAATGTGTGAAGCCCATTTCTGGTGTCCCCCGCCGTGATGTTGCTGGAATATTGCTAAAAGCGGCGTAAAACCAAACTCAGTCAGTCAGTCAGTCAGTCATAACCATTACTGAGCATCCATAGTGTTGAATATTGATGCCGTACACAGTATACAGTAGGAATATGGAAACAGTATGTATATTGAATCAGTTCAAGGTATACAGATTGAACTGGATTCTGTTGTCAGGCGGCTAAGTGCGGAACAGAAAGCACTGATACTGGCGTATGCGGAGCTTGAGAAGGGAGTGGAGGGGACCGTTGACGGCGTAGCCAGGACACAGTCAGGTAAGTTGCCATCACCAGGAGCAACAATATCTAAAAAACTTTTATTTATTTTCATGATATTATTCTTAAAGATAGAGTAGGAATATCATCAATATCCTGTGATTAGCCAGTTAAATCTTGTATCATATTCAAAATTGTTTTCCGTGGATCACAAACATTTTTCCTTGTATATCTTCTATTTAATCTTCATATAACATAGACAGGTCCTTCTTTTCTGTGTTCCAGCAGGAAGGAAGGATGGAGGAAAGAGTGATAGTGAGAAACATGAGGAGGAGAAAGACGAGGGGGGATTCCTCGGCAAAATAAAAAAGACTCTTTTTGGATAACACTGGCTTTTCATAGTATGAATTGAAGTACATTGATTACGTTATGGTTATCTTTAATTCTTCATAATGTACAGTTATGATTGATTTGTATTTATGATTGTATAAATAAGAATATAGGTTTTCTCAGATGCATTTTTTCCTGTTTCTATTTTAATTTATCGAGACATGTAGAATATGAAAGACCAAAATGATATTGTTGGACTTTTGAAAATCATAGAGGCAGAAAATATCTGTTCTGGTTTTACCAGAGTTTTACTGTTTTACTGTGTAAAGTGACGTTTTCTTCATGCTGATGGATAGCATATCAATACAAAACAATACATGTAGAGATGTAAGAATAATATGTTACACATGTTACATGTACAAGAATACAGTGTAATTGTAGTCATCTCCAGTAGACTCATTCTGAACCCCTGTCATGGACAATGACCCCTGAAACTGACAAATGAAATCTGTGTGGTGGGGTTAAAGTGTCCGCTCGTCACGCCAATGACCCGGTTCGATTCCCCACATGGGTAGAATGTGTGAAGCCCATTTCTGGTGTCCCCTCACCTTGATATTGCTGGAATATTGCTAAAAGCAGCATAAAACTCTCACTCACAAATGAAATCGTTCCGTTTCTTATCACCTTTGTGCTTTATGCCAATGTTATGCCAATGTTATGCCATATTGTGCCATTATCCTTCCCACACTGCCCTCCACCAGGTCTGCAAGCCATCAATGACGAGGGAGGACTTGTAGCTCAGATCAGACGGGCACTGAGAGGACTTGAGGACAAGATAGAACAGCTTGAGGACAACACAACAGATAAGAAAGAGACATTTCAAACAAAAGTTGAAGACAAGAAAGAGTCAGTTCAGACAAAAGTCGAAGACAAGAAAGAGTCAGTTCAGACAAAAGTCGACGACAAGAAAGAGTCAGTTCAGACAAAAGTCGAAGACAAGAAAGAAACCGTTCAGGAGGACGATGATGATAGTGATGATGAAGGGATGAAGAAGAAAAGCTCCAGCTGAGAGATTTTGTGGATAGCATAATTTCAAAATCTGCATTGCCTGCCAACAAATTTGGATAGGCATTTAAATGGATTTGGTACATTTTATCCTGAATAACATGTTGACATTTCTGTTGTTTTAAGCGCTGATTTTACAAATACAGTCAAATCCCGATGAGTCGAATCTCTGGGGACCAAGTAATAAATTCGACTTATCGATGTATTCGAGACATAGGTATGTCTATGAGGGTAGAAAAAAAGATGATCCAGTCCTAATTCCTCTGCCTAAGCATTTGTTTATCTAATGATTTCCCTATCACTAATAGGGGCACCTTATCAGTTCCAGTCTGATTAGCACAGACAGTGATTTCCGTAAAATCACTTATCTGCCTTTTGAACTCACCCGTCAAAGGCGGAAAGGTGTGAGCTGCGCTGGTTTGTTAATTGGATCAGTTTGCTACACCAATCAACTTCTCATTGACTGACTTCGGCTTATGTATACAAGATTGCTGTTGTTTGAATCTCATGGGACAAAATCTTCTTCTCGAGTCATCGTGTGTATTTATGAGTCGAATTCGTGTAACCAGTATTCAAATGATGACAACTGTAACAGGGAATGGTGGGACCGACAGGTACTTCAAGTTATGCATAATATTTGAGACACCGGCATTCGACTCATCGGGATTTGACTGTACTTCAAAAGAATATACATGTCTGTATTACAAGAAAAATCATTTCACCATGAGCATGTACTATCTTAGCCTACATCAAAGATTTGGAGTTGGGTCAACGATTTACTCATGTTCATAAAATAGAAAAATAGACTACCTCCTGTGCAGGAACTCGAGGGCTAGCATGTTGTTACCTGTGTTTTCCCACCCTCTGTTAATGGCTGGTTAGCTTTGAAGCACTATGTATTTCATTCTCACAACTTCCTGTAATGCTGTGATCATCCTTATCTTGTTTCATCTGTCTCTTCCTCATCCAGATGCTAAGTGACGTCGGTGTGGCCTGAACCTGTATGCAAACAACTGTGATTCCCCTCCCTGAAATAACCTGGCCTGTGTGTTTGATGAATGAAAGTGATGTTAATCTCTGGTGGAAGCTGATTTTCAACATCGGCTACTCGTGTGTCATTAAGCAAAAATCAGCAAACAGTTGGATTATAAACCTTCTCACTAGAACCTGATAAACAGAACCTGTTTGTTTATAAATTGTTCAAAAAGTGCAATTTTCATGGGTTATTGGGATGTGTATTCGACTGTCTTTCCACCAGACTGCTAGTGTTACTATCAGTTATAAACCAGAGAACCTGTATAACTGCATTTAATTTGCATTTGTGATAGAATATTCGTTTCATTAATCCACCACCATTGTTAGCTGAATGTTGTATAGCTAACCTGTAAATATGCATGTTAATGTACATACTGTACTCAGAGATGATGTGGAATGAGGAGATTGCTGGATCAGCTGCTGAGAGCTGGAGCCAACTCATGGCAGAGTACATGTCATACAAACTATTTCTCATTCAGACGGACAGATTGACAAGTGGCATAAGATTCAACAAATATAAGACATTTGGTTGAATGTAAGGAATAGCTGTTAACTGCAAGAATCTGTCTTTAACTGTGTGTATCAGATGTTAGCTCTTAGGGTCTGCTGATGAGATGAATGTTCATGTATTCTTGCCACTTCAAGGCAGATCACTAATCAGGCCATTACTCTCTCATATGGATGGATGGGCATGGTCCGTAGCACTTCATGCTTTTCATAAGGTACTTGGTTGGTCACTACGGCTGCTGTTGAATCCTACATGTAAGGTAGACCTTATGACCCTGTGGATGCAGTCAATGTCAGTCCATGTGCTTCTGCTTGTAAATATATCTGTGGTGCAATACTATCACATATTGTAACCATTCAACTCTCTCGACAATCATTTGTCTTTCCAAGCTTGATAACTTACACACATATTTGTAATTTAGATGATCAAGACTATTATAGCTTTCACAATGACAGGCCTGCCAGTGAAGACCAGCAGAGAGAGACCAACCTAAGGAATAATTACCCACTTTAAATAGAAATATGAACAATTATGAACAAGACACAATTCCCCAAATTTAGAATTGTAATGATTAAAACTGGACACATTTTCAGTGGAGCCCACAACAAACTCTGTTTGTGCTCACTTGGTTTGTTGCGATCTGCATGGTTTACTGTGTGTAGTTCCACTGAAAACTGATTGTCAGTTTTACATTGCCTCTCTGGGCCTAGATTTTCGAATCTCTCTTAGCGCTAAGATAGCCATAATTGCCATTCATTAACATTAACTTACATTCTTAGCCCCTCTCTAGGCCCTGGTGTGTAAGTCATGGGTCCTTTTTTATCTGGAAACCATGGACCGACCCACATGTTTAATGGGCTTTGGATTTGTATCAGGGGTCAATTTGAGTTTTATAGTATATTGAACTGTGGGGAAATGTAGATTAGCATTGGTCCCTTTACTCTCTTGTGTAATGTTGCTCAGTGTCAAAAATGTGTAACATTAGGCTGATGGCTGAAAATTTTAATGTTGTTATTCTGGGTTATTTGACAGAAAACTATCTGCTGGGAAAGTGATGATATGCTGCTATGGCAGAGAACAAATATACTGACATAAACAAATCAGGGAAACACATGAAAGTACAAATGTTCCTATCTCTATTTCCAGATGTTCTTCACCTGCTTTGTATTGCACTGTGGGTGGAAATCTAGGAATAAATGAAAGAACACTTTGTATCTTCATGTGTTCCTTTATTTGTTTCCATCAGTATATATTGCCCAATCTACATTATTTGTGTAGGTTGAGATGTGAAGTATTGGAACGGCTTATTGTTATAAGAACACTCTACATCAAGATTCACAGGTTCTGTTTGCATACACACATGAAAAAGTCACCACAACTTATATATTTCATGAAAAGGTCATTTTGTCAGTCATGTCATGTATTAATTTTCTCTCTGAAATCAGTGAACATATTTGCAGCTATTCCATGGGAATAACACCCTTTCCATTGCCTCCTGTTTCTACATGTTATATCAACCAGTACATCAAGATGACCATTTATTAGGGCTGGCTAAAATGATTGAAACTCGGAAATTTTGATAGGAAATAATCGATCGATATTCATTTAACGATTATCAATCTGTATGATCTATATCAATAGACAGCCCTAACACTTATATTTCCTTTATAGTTGTACATCAGGTATCTTAGGTACAACAGATAATTCTTGACATGAGATGTGGTTATGGGGCATTTAAAATATTATCCTGGAAGTGCAGGACCTCCCTACAAAGCAATCTCAGCAGATCAAGGAACATAAGCCTATATTACAGTATGGGAGTGATGATCTGCTAACCGCTAAGATGGTTTTGTGAAATAGGGCCCTGGGTATGTATGACTGTTACTTTGTTCTGGGTAGGGCTGGCTAACATGACAATCGGATAATATTGTGTTATCGATAATATTGCATGTTAACTTCTGTGACAGAAAAAAGTTATAATTTTCTCACACAATCAAGGACTTTATTCATGGTCTGCTTCTAAATTATGTTCAGAACGCTGTCTTGTTAATAATCCATGGAAAAACATGTCACCACTCACCAGTGATGTGAAATATATATTTATTTATTTCAGACATGTTTGGCATTTTTGCTCAGTTGCATCTCCGATATTTAGTTAACGATTATTGATCTCTGTGATCTATATCGATAGTCAGGCCTAGTTCTAGGTGCAGGTATTTGTGGTATGCCTCATCACAGAAGTTGATAGATGGATACTGCCCGTGACTGGGACAGCAGCTGGTCCAGATGTTGCTGTGTGAAGTCAGTTGTGATGTAGTACATACAGATCTGTGAGCGTAGATGATTCCTTGTTGTTGAGTTTGAATAGTTAAATATGTGTATGTGAGTGTGAGAGAAACCAGAGGTATATTATTGACTGTGTCATTGCATTAAATATATGCAAATAAATGCAGAGAATTGACTAGTAGTATTTTATTGTCATCAAGAGAGTTGTCACGTTTTCAGCAACTACTGTTCAGAGACTTCCACAAACTGACACATACAGCATCTCAATCCAAGAGATGTATTCTACTTTTTCTATTCTGATATTGGTTCCACAACACCAGACTTCATTACAACTTTTGTGTAATCCCAGGAGGGGCTTTGGGGTTACTGAAACAAACCCCAAACATCAAGTCAGAGTCAAAGTCAATGTCATGCCAGACTCCTGCATTGTGAGTTCGAATCTCAATTTGCCCTGACTATGTGTATATTATTGTGGGCACCATACCAGTGGTTCGGGTGTTATCGAAATGGTAAACATCAAAGACCTTCATCAGATCTTCCACCTGAACCTGATACAACTAGAATCTTTGGCCTTATCCCAAACTCATTCAACTGCAACATTCCTTATATTACTGAGAAAAGTGTTGTAAACTCCTTCCACAAGGCGTTTGTCCTATCCTGGCTGAAACCTTGCACAAGAGTGGCAGAAGCAGCCTTCTTTATGGCTCATTCTCCACTAAACGTGCATATAGGTGGGTGTGGGTGCTGAGAAATAAAGTGTCTCATAGATTACCATTTGGTTAGGCAAGCTGCAGAGTAACGTCAGGGGAGCATGTTCCTGAAGTGGCTGGACTGTGCGATGCTTGTGCTGGTGTTATGGTCGTCAACATTCATATACCCCTTTCTGTGTATGGACAGACACGTTACTACATCACTTGTTAGCTGGGAGAACTATATACAAAACAACATGCACACATCAGATATTGATGTATTTTATTGAACTGTTGATACCTCTTGTAGTACAAAACACATGTCCAGTGGGTACATGTTGTACTTTGAAGTATGCTAAACAGTGTTTGGGTGATAAGAACAAACAGCTTCCTCTATTTATTCAATGATTACAAACATAACATTTTCTTCATAAAAAAGGGAATTGAACCAAGAAAGTACATATTTCTCCAGATGAGGCATTTGTCTGTGCACAATATGGTTAAAGAACAGAAAGATGAAAATATATTACCTTAACCTCTCCAAGAAACTATTTTCACCAAGAGTCAAATTGTCACGTATCTGTCACTCCCACGTCACGTATCTGGTTCACTATAAAACGAACATAAATAAACGAACAATCCTTTAACCTTTAAACTAACATGTAGGAGATCAACGCAGGATACAACTACACTAAAACCAGTGAACCCTCACGGATACAACAGCAGCTGAAATCAGTAACGTAT